GCGGGGATGTCTCTAGCAAAGGCGCCAGATTGGGAGATGCCGGGCGCGCCCGATGCATTGGGGCCCGTGGGGCGATCTTTGCGAGTCCCGAGCGAGAACGCCAGATTGGGGCACGCCTGGCACGCCTGGTGCGCCCCTGGAAATGGTACCCGAAGGGCGCGCCAGAGGCCCGCGGGTCGAGTGGTGCGAGGATGTCTCGGGCGAAGGCGCTGGAATGGAATGCGCCTGGCGCGCCTGGTGCATCATTGGAAAATTTGCCCGTGGGGGGATTTTTGCTAGGGTGTCTCAAGCGATTGGGACACGCCCGGCGCGCCAGGCAAATCCCCGGAAATGGTCCCTGGGGGTGCCGTGGCGAGGGCGCCAGATTGTGACACGCCCAGCGCGCCTGGTGCATCCCGAGGCGAGGCGAGGCGAGGCGAGGCGACTCCCAGTTCGCCCGCGAGGGCGGCCGCGCGCGGGGCTGGGAGTGGGCGCCGGGGCGCCGCTCGTTCAGTCGAGGGTCAACATGTTTCTGCGTGCACGGTGCACATGGCCAGCCTCCAAATTTGTGACCACAACTCGCTGTCCGACGCAATTATTTGCCAATGCTTCCCGCGTGTAGTGCGAGTGAGCTCTGCCACATCATCAGTCCATCTTTTGTGAGGTCGGTGCGGTAATCGCTTTGCACGTGCCTTCGTGTTTGTAGGGCCCCAAAATAAATCATTTCGGCTCCATGTTTCCCTGTCATCGCACGCGACCGCCCCCGCAAGTCTCCATTATATGCGCGTCTGTCGTGTGACCCAATCTTCGTGTCCCGCTTCGTTGTAGTACTGCTTGGTATACCTCAACGCGCACAGGATCCAGTCCTGCCATGGTTCAACCGCGCCGTATCGAGAACGTGTGCTCGATGTTGCGGCGATGTTTGTGGTGCTGGAATCGGTGCTGCTGTTGTCGGGTTCTGGAATATCGCTACTGTTGTCTAGATGATATCGGTCTTTCGCTTCCGCGCTGACTTCTGGAAGCCAGCGTCGCGGGGATCCGAATACCATTCTGATCATGCGGCGTTGCGTGGACCGCACCCGTGATTCCAACGGGACCGTCATCGTCCCAGAGCCAGCGCCGTAAAATAGCATGGGTGAGGCACCGCCGTTACACAGCCGCAAGCGGTCCTACAGAGAGTACGACCGAATGGTCAGTTCCTGCTTGAAGATGCCAACTCCCACCAGCCCTCTTGGCGTCGGTGGTTTAGAGAGTTCCCTCTTCCACCCCTCCTTTTTCCCCTTCGGGGAGCCCCTTACCCCTCCCCCTACCCCCTCCCCGCTGACCTGGACAAGGGATTTCGCGAGGTGTCAGGGCGTCCAAAACGGCCTCGGGAAGAAACCACAATCATTGATGTTACTACGGTTTTGGCATCATTTTGGCCTCCTGGGGGGCCAAGTGTAATCCGTAACCCCCTCTCCTGCGGTCGATCTCCTCCAAGATGGCCCCAAGAAGCGCCCAGGAGGCCCCAAGAGGTCCCAAGATGGCCCCAAGATGGCCCCAATAGGCCCCAAAGAGGCCCCCAGGAGGCCACCAAAAGACCCCCGAGAGGCCCCAAGAGACCCCCCAGAGGCACCCAAGATGGTCCAAGAGGCCTCGGCGAGAATGCCACATCATTGATTTCACAAAAAGTTTTAGCCACATGTTGGCCTCTTGGGGGAGCACTGATTAAGATGGCTCTAAGAGCGCCAGAGGGAACCCAAAATGACTTCCAAAATGGCTCAAAATACCCCAAGATGTCTCATCATGGTTTCCTCCGTGTACTGCCCACTTGCCTCATCGAGGCAACTCCTCTGGGCATCGTTTCTGGATGGGCTGGTGGGGATTCGCGAAGCGCCAACAATTCCTCCATGCTGCACTGGTTCTGGAGACAGCCGCAACTGCCGTCGGCACACACAATGTAACAAGACGGCCAAGATACTTCTGGGTAGCTGAAAACGAGATGGCTTCGATGTTGTTATCCCGTTGACGACTGCGTGCTCATGACGGTTTCTGGCCCGCCGCTCCCGCATGCTATGAAAGATGTAAGATGTTGGTTTTCCCTGGGTGTATCTCCAAGCCCGTGGGATGGGCGGCGACCATCCCACCCGAATTCATACACTTTAACTGTCGTAGCGAAGGTGAGTTCAACAAGACGTCACCGGCGAAACGAAAATCGGTCAGGCCGTCATGCTTGCTGTGCGCTGCCAGTTGTATGAAACAGTGTTTTTCAGCCCACCTCGTTCGGACATCTGCTGAAGATGAGCTCGAAAAAAGCAATTGACAAGCAACGAGTTCATGGGATATCCTTGTGTGGAACGGCGGATAATATTGAACACCTTGCTCAATACATCTGTCTTGCCGCAGGACGTCTGGTCAACATCCATGCTCGAAATGAGACTGATGTGTGGCGCTGGGACCGCGTGTGCTCGCAAGGCTTCACATAGTGACTGATGCGACACCGTGCCAAAAACTTTTTGAAATCCAACGTAGCAGCCCACAGCAGAAGCTGCAACTCCCGCGCCTTTTCCTGCGCGATGGTCAAAGTCAAAAGGTGGTCGTCTGTATTGAGCTGGCGCCGGGACCCTGCTTGAGCAGGAGGTTACATTGCATCTAAGATGGGATCCATCCTGTTGTAAAACAGTAGCGAATATAGTTTGTACATGACTGAAATCAAAGAAATAGGAGGTAATTCCGTGGTAACGACGGCTTTCCCGATTTGAATATGACGCTGATCTGGGTGTGTTTCCATTGTTTCGGCGTCGCCGTACCATCTGCCACAATGTCGGTTAAAAAAACAACAAAGCCTGCTTGAAAGGATCGCCTCCGTACTTTAACATCTCCGCTGCTATACCGTTGGTGTCTGGCGCCATTCCGACATTTGAGCTGCCGCATCGCACGCGTCATCTCCTCATCACTGAAGGCTGGTATCCTTGGATCGTCGACTCCATCGTTACGGCTGGGAGCAGGTTCAGCACCGCCTGGTTGTATATACAATGACTCGTAGAATTCCGTTCTGTCTGGTATGTCTGGTATGTCCTCCAACAAAAATCAGGTATGTCCTTTCTGTCGTGAACCGTTCGCCCACAATGCGACTGCATAGATGGGACGAGATCTTTCTTATTTGCGCTCTTGATGCCGGTGATCTTGTTCAAGCTTCGGCAATCCTTCAGAGTTGCACCGGTTTTCGGGCGCCTGTCTTTGATGCCTTGATCACGTACCTCCTGTCGGATCTGCTTGCTGAGTTGACGTCGCAGTGTCGTGTCTTAGTTGCCAAGCTGGTTGCGTTGTAATATGAGTTTGTCAAATCTGCTTTGTATCCGCTGTGGTAGTAGGAGTGCTCCGTCCTCTGGCACTGATCCCCGATCTCCCATGCATTGCGTGATCAATGTTTCTATGAAGTCGTATCGGGACTGTATCCCGGATGCCTTGTCCATGTCAGCAAGCGCGTGTCCAAGTCTGTGTACGTACCTGCCCGTATCCACAGGAGGCCACTTCCTCGCGATAGTTGTACGTTCGTTCCGTTGCGCGCGTCGTCGGCTGGTTGGTGCGCGCTGGCTGCCGTTTGAATATGATGCTCCTCATATGTACGTCCGTATTGTCCGATCCCATATGAGCTGTTGCGGTAGCTGAACTATCAACCACAATGCGCCAGAATCGCCTTGACGTCATAATGTAATCAATCTGTTTTGCGGTTTGTCGCAGGCTGTGGAAATATGTCGGCAGTAGGTGTGGCCGCTTGAAAAACATAGCACTTGTGATAACCAGGCTGCGTCTGTCTGTCCAAGATACCGAAAGCGCGCCCAGGGCCCAGAGAGATGTCTCCAGCGAAGACTGGACGGGGACGCGGGGCCCGTGCGCCTGGTGCATCCCCGGAAATGGTCCCATGTGCAGGGGGCGCGCTGAGGGCCCGTGGGGATTCCAGAGCAGGGACCGACCGTCCCAGCATCCCTATAAGCCTACCACGAGATGTGCTACGGGCCGAAAAATGTTCTAAGAACAAAGACAAACGTCTTAGAACATAAGCCCTACGTGCTAAAACACGACAGTCTCAGCCATAAATGTTTCTGCGTGATTATCTTTACCACTCCCGCACCATCTTCCTCGGTTTAGGCCTCAGTGGGCCGATTTGGTGCCCCGCACGACGAACAGAAATAGACCCAGGGCGAAAAGGCTGACCGTGTGGAAAAGTCGAGATCCAGAGGTCCGAAGCATTGCTTTTTCAGTACAGGGTCCCGTGAAGTCTCGAGCCGTTCCCGAGGGCTGGTTTTTCATCCCGAGTGGTGCTTTCAGCCCCAGGGCCTCCAGAGGCCTAAAACGGCCTAGAACCTCCGTATATAAGTCTGTTCGACACGCTGGAGGCCGAAGGACCTCCGCGATCAATCAGCATCGAACTGTGACTTCGGATGGGATCGGCATGTGCATCGAATCGCGCAGCATCGGCACGGAGCCAGAATCGGGTCGGACCAGGCCTGCTGGATTCAGTCCTAGACGCGCGACGTCTCGATCTTTGTCCCAAACCGCCTGTGTGGGTTTCTCGTTTCAAATGGAGCACTGTTGTCGCCATCTCTCTCCTCCCGCATCCTCTTCCCAACCCTCCTGCGTTGGGTTCTCGATTTGAAGAGAGCACTGTTGTCCCCACCTTCTCCTCTCCAGCCTCCCTCCTCCCTTGATCCTCCTGCGCTGCTCCCTGGGAGGCTGCGAACTGAGAGGGTTCCTGAGAGGCACGGCGCAGGTGAGGGCAGCGCAGATTTCTTTGAGACCTCGCGGCTCCCTTGGGGGCTGCGAGCTGTGCATCTATCGCTACTTTCGTGGGCTCCTGGGGTGCACGGCGAACGTGAGGGCAGCGCAGATCCATGTGAGACCTCGCGGCTCAGCTGTGCATCTGTCGCCACTTTCGTAGGCTCCTGGGAGGCATGGAGGGGGTGAGGGCAGCACAGATCCTTTTGAGACCTCGCGGCTCCCTCGGGGGCTGTGCGAACTGCGCGTCCGTAGCCGCTATCGTGGGGAGGCACGGCGGAGGTGAGGCTCTTCAGATATGATGTGCTCTTTTATATACTCGCCTTGCGTGTAGCAAGGCTTTGGTACGTCGGTACGTCCATGCGCGGTCCCAGGAAGTCCCGACCGGCTCCCCAGGGCTGGCTATTCATCCCGAGCCCTTTTTGACGGTCCCCGAACACGGTGGGGGCCCTCACGCCGTGATGCCCGAGTCGATGTTGCAGCGTCGCCAACTTGCGGCAGTCCCACACGTCCGTGCTGGCGGGCATGCTGCACGACCCCTCTTTGGGAACCCTCGGGCATCCTCGGGGGGAGCAGTCGGACTCCCGACAGGCCTGGTGCGGCCCCGCAGCGGTCCCGAGACCCAACGGGGCTGTATGACCCCGTGCTGGCCATGACCGCCGCTCCACCACAAAGCCCTTGCGGCGCGACCAGGGCGGGGCAGCGCCATGCTGGTATTTTGGCTCCACGTCGCGAGAATGCCGGGGCTTATCGAGTCGGATCGATCGGCTCGAAGTCGGCCCTGAGCTCTGGGGCCCGATGGTTGACAGAGTCAGACCAAGAGGGGCTCAACACGTACCCCTAAGAGCGGCGTGCTCCCAGTGAGGCGTCGCGAGAACCACGACTCTCAGCCACGGCATGCGCCAAAACCTGGCTGTTAGGCGTCCCGGGGTGGGCTCCGATCGGGCCCCCCTCTGGGGAAACCAAAAGGTACCGATATCGCTGCTCCCCGACCTCTCCCAGGGTGCGCTCTGACCAGAATCCCACCAGCCCTCTGGGCGAAGGTAGTTCAGGGCGGCTCCTCTTCCAACCCCATTTCTTCCCCTTCGGGAAGGGGTTTACCCCTCCCCCTACCCCCTCCCCTGGACTTGGACGGGGGGGGGGGCGCAAGGTGTCGGAGCGTCCAAAACGGCCTCGGCGAAGAAGCCCAAACCACTGGTTTTATGAAAGTATTGGCCACATTTTGGCCTCTTGGGGGGGTTGCGCTAATTAAGGACCCCCCTTCTTTGATCGATCTCCTCCAAGATGGCCCCGCGAGCGCTCCCAAGGCTCCCAAGGGTGCCCAAAGAGGGCCCGCAGAGGTGGCCAGGAGGCCCCAAGAGGGCCCCAAGAGGCCCCCAGGAGATGCCCCCAAGAGGCTCCCAAGAGACCCCCAAGAGGCCCCAAGAGGCCCCCCAGAGGCACCCAAGACGCTCCAAGAGGCCTCGGCGACAATGCCAAAATCACTGATGTTACTAAGTAGGAGGCAAACGAACCTACCTCGCTTTTAAGCACCCTCGCTTCAAAAAGATACCAAACGATACTAGGCTACAGCCCGCACCAGTCATGTCGCTTGACCAGGAGGCTCGTGGTATGACTTGGTTTTGTCTGGCAGCGAAAGCGGGGTAGGTAATTCACGCTCTGACTAAGGTTTTGGACACATTTTGGTCTCCGGGGGGGGGGGGGGGGCACTGCTTCAGATGACTCCAAGAGCGCCTGGGAGAGCCCAAGATGACCTCCCGAATGGCTCTCAAGATATCCCATGATGCCTCAAGATCGCTCCCACGATGCTCCAAAACGCCCCAAAACAGCTCCAAGACGGCTCCAAGTGGCCAAAGAGCTCCCCCAGGAGGCCCCGAAGAGGTCAACATCCTTCCAAAACCTTGGGAAAATCCATGTTTTGGCTTTCTCGCCGAGGCCTCAAGATGGCTCCAAGGCCCAAGAGAGCTCCAAGAGCGCTCCCGAGGCTCCCAAGAGCGCTTCGAGAGGGTCCCAAGAGGCGCCCAGGAGGCCCCAGGAGGCCCCAATAGGCGCCCAAGAGGCCTCCAAGAGGCTCTCAAGAGACCCCCAAGAGGCCCCAAGAAGCTCTCCGACGCACCCAAGACGCTCTTAAAGGCGTCCGGGACCGCCAAAAGGCCAAAAGGGGACCCTTCCTCTGTGTGCTGCCCACTTCCCTGATCGAGGCAGTTCCTCTGTGCATCGTTTCTGGATGAGCTGGGTTGCGCGAAGCGTCTAGAATTTCGAAGCGAATCCAGCGGTGGCGACGAGGACCTCCCAGGAGGCCGTAACGGGGAAAAAACAAGGGAAGGGTAGCAGTATGGGGCATCTTTCCCTCCTCCGACTCTCCAGGACGCGTCTGTTCTGGGGTACGCTCCCGAAGTCACTCCGCCGGGCGTCCCTCGGGCCCGGCCGGGCGATCCATGAGCGCTCCGCTCGGCGGACCGCCGCGAAGCGCGGCCGGCACCGGGTCGGACGGCAGGAGGTCAGTCACGCACGGCGGCTTCGTGTCGGCGTCGTTTTTTCTGAGGCCGCGTGGAGTGCTGAACCTGGAACGGTCGGCGGCTTTTGATGGGCCTGTTTTCCCCCACCACCACCGTAAGTTGGAGGGGGGAAGGAGGTGGAGGAGGAGGAGGAGGAGGAGGAGGAGGAGGAGGAGGAGGAGGAGGACCCCCTCCCCCTCCAACTTATGGTGGTGGTGGTGGAGAACGGGCCCATCAGCTTTTCGATCGCCAGCTCGTTCCACACTGGCCGACTCTGGCGGCGCTCCCCCTGTGACGCCCGCGGTGGGGGCGCCGCCGCATCGGCACGGCACGCGGCCCGGTGACGGGCCCCGGACGCCGAAACCGAAGGACACGTGCAGATTGAAACGGCCATCTGTCTGGAGAGCCGGGTCTGCCCCCCTGCGTCCGGCCCGATCGGTGCCCAGAGGGCGATCCACAAGCGCTCCGTTTTTCGGACCGCGGCGGCGGCCAGCATCTGGCCAGGTGGGTCCGCGCCCTGCAGGACCAGGCGGTGCTCCTCTTCTGGGGAAGGGCAAGGATCCCTGAGATTTGTTAGGCATTGCTTAACCCGTGGATCCGGGCGTCACATTTGTTTCACACCGGGCGCTTTCGCGGGGTATCGGGTCCCAGGACCATCACCGACCGTTCCGGTTCGAAACATACCGCATGAAAGATGAGGTCTATAGGGCCCTGGTCGAGATTTGTCGCGATGTTGTGTTTTTGTTTCGCAGCGTCGGATCTCAGGGAATGGGGAGCCATAAACTGAGGGGATGAGGGAAGAGGATCGCCCTTCTTGTTCCTTCGGGCCCCGTAGGCCTCTTTCCTGAAAGCCCTCGACCCCCCATTATTATCGCCCCACATTATATGAAGGGGCCATGGGACACACAAAGAAATACACACAAATAAAAGGATTCCACATACTTTCCCATATTTTCTGGGTTTCTGTCTTCCCCCCCACTGCCCATATTTTCCCACATTTTCGGAGGAATCGACGATTACTTGTATCTGTGTGTTTTTTCTCCTCCTGATTATAATGGCAACGCCCGAGTCCCGGCGCGGCAATCTGATTCGGGCGTTTTCGGCTGGTTTCGGGCCCCGGGGCCCTCGCAAGCATGCCGCAAAGAGATGGGGTCGAGGGGGTTATGATCGCGATGTTCCGCGATGTGGGGGTCACCACAACCACCTACCACCACTACCGACCACCACACCACCACCATCACCACCACCACCACCACCACCAGCACCACCACCCACCACCCATCACCCACCACCACCACCAGCGCCGCTACCAGCAGCAGCAGCACCACCACAGCCCACCACCACAGCCACCACAACAGCCCACCACCACCACCACCACAAACCACCACGCCACCACCACCATCACAGCCATCACCACTACCACCACCACAGCCACCACAACCCACCACCACCACCACCAACCCACCACACAATCACCACCACCACCACCACCACAGCCGCCACCATCACCACAACGACCATCACCACAACTCACCACCACCACCACAACAAGCCACCACCACTTCCACAACCACCACAATCTGACACACCAAAACCACCACCGCCACAACCACCACCACTACCAGCAGCACAACCCACCACCACCACCACGACAAACCACCACACCACCACCACCACTACCAACACCACCTCCACAAACCACCGCCACCACCACAACCCACGACCACCACCACCACAAACCACCACAAACCACCACACCACCACCACCACCACCACCACCACCACCACCACCACCACCACCCACCACCACAACCACCACCACCATCACAACAAACCACCACCACCACAACAAACACCACAAACCACCACCACCACAACCAACACCACAATCACTACCACCACCACAACCACCACGAAAAATCACCTGACCACCACCGCCACCACCACCTTAACCAACCTCCACCACAACTACCACCACGACCACCACCAGAAACCACCGCACCACCACCACCACCGCCGCCATCACCAGCACCAGAACCTGCCACCACAACCACCACAACAACCAGCACCACCCGCACCATCCACACCACCACCACCACTTCAACCACCACCGCCACAACCACCACCACCAGCACCACCACCAGCACCACCACCAGCACCACCACCACACGGCCCACCACCACCACCACCACCACCACCACCACCACCACCACCACCACCACCACCACCACCACCACCTTAGAGAGGCCCCAAGAGACGCCCAAGAGGCGCCCAGGAGGCTGCACAAACGCCCTTCAGAGGCCCCCGAGAGCCCTCCGACGAGACCCCAGGAGGCATACATTAGGACTCTGACCCAAAACCATGGCACGGTGGCGGGGCGTCGTCGTCGTCGTCATCGTCGTCGCCGTCGTCCTCGTCGACGCTCCCCGCCGTCGCCGCCCGCCGCCGCAGGCGCCGGCGCCGGCCCAGAAAAGGAAGTCGTCGTCCCCGCCGCCGCCGCCAGCCGCCGCCGCCGCAGGCGCCGGCCCGAGGAGAGGGAGAGAGGGGGAGGAGGGGAAGGGAGGGGGGGGGGCGAACCCCCCCCTCTCCGTCATGGGAAAGGGGGGGGGGGGGGTTCCTCTCCATCCAGGGGTGGAGGGGGGGGTCCGGTTCCAAACCACCCCCCCTCCAAGCGACCACAGAACGCGCTCTTTCAGACATCCTCTGACATGATGGGGGGGCTGGTCCGAACCCCCCCCCTTTCTCCAGGGGGAGGGGGGGGGGTCCGGTTCCGATCCCCCCCCCTCCAAGCGACCACAGAACGCGCTCTTTCAGACATCTTCTGAAATGATGTTTTCAATGCGCGGCCCCTGAGGTCTCGACCACTTCCCTGGGGATAGTTCGTCGCACTGAATCCGTTTTTGATTGTCCCAGGGGCCGTTCACTGGCACCAAAGGCCGAAATCTAAGAGAAAGCGGTTGGATTTTTACAAACAAATGTTATTCGGTCCGAAGAAGTGGGTGAAAACATTAAGTAAGAAAGCGTTGGAAGTAGGTTGGGCTTCCGCGCGCCTCCCGAAGAGGCAGGAAAATGTGAAACCGCTCGATCGCTGCAGCAGATTGGGATCTGGAAGTCCAAAAATAAGTACTTTCAACGACCGACGGGTACCTTCGGATATCTGAGCATGCGGGTGCGGGAATGGGCGTCTCGAGCCGACCCATCAAGTCGGTTGGTTCATTGGGGAAGAAGGAGAACGGCGCCCAGGACCACCGCGGAAATCTTGGTGTCTCTGCTGATCACCATCCGTGCTGATCGTCGTCAGCTTGTGAAGTATCCTCGCGAATCGGCGACGGCTGGCTTGGACCTTGACCAAGATCGGCGTCGACGAGACCGGATCATGATCGGATCATGCTTCTCCCTCAGTGGATCGGATCATGTTCACGTAAGTTTCTGCTTCGGTCCTCAGTGGCCGGCGGGCGATCCACCAGCGCCGCCAGCGGGCCGACCTCTCAGAAAGGCATTCGGTCCTCCGTGGCCGGCGGGCGATCCACCAGTGCCGCCGTCGGGCCGACCTCTCAGAAAGGCCAGGGGGGGGGAGAGAAAGACGGCGCGGGCCCAGGCCTCGTCCTCCTCCTCCTCCTCCTCCTCCTCCTCCTCCTCCTCCGTCCTCCTCTTCCTCCCCCGTCCTCTTAAGTCATCCGTCCTCCGTCCTCTGTCTCCGTCCTTCCTTTAGCTCCTCCTCCTCCTGCTCCTCCCCCTCCTCGGCAGGAATCGGGACGGAGGCCTCTCGCAACTGGTTTTCTCGAGGCACGGGAATCGTTTTTCGGGCCCTGGGTAATCGTTGCCGTAAGAAGTAGTTATAAGAGTCGGGGGATGCGTTCCTTGATAGCTGGCGATTAAACACAAGCCTCATACAAAGAATAGCTAATTTGCTTTTAATGTTAACCAGCAAACCATGAGAAAATAAGTTCTTTGAAGGCATGAAGGTTGACTGGGTACCCTCGCTGGGCCCCATGCGCTGAACACAACTACGCGGAATGAACAACTGGTCCGGGACAGGACGGAAAAGGAGGTCTGATGAGGATATTGGGGGAGGAGGACGGAGGAGGAGGAGGAGGAGGAGGAGGAGGAGGAGGAGGAGGAGGAGGGAGGAGGAGGAGGAGGAGGAGGACGAGGCCGAGAAAGCAGGCGTAGGACGAGTCGGAGGAAAAAGGCGGAGAGAAGAGGAGGGATGAGAAGGAGGAGCAGGAGGAGGAACGGCAGGGGGGACGTGTCCGTCCGACGGGCGAGGGGCAGAGTGGAGGCCATGAGGGGTAGCTAAACGGGCTGGCGCGGGCACGGGTCTCGGCCGTGCGCAGGAGGAGGGCAAGAGAGTCACGTCTACGCGTTGCGTTAGAGTTAGGTCGGGCCTGTCCCCCTACAAGGGGATTCGGGGCGAAAAATGTCAAATATTAAAGGATATGCAAAAAATGGCCAAAAATAATAGAAAAATCGTCCCCAGACTATTTTTGTACTACTTTTGAACGTCCCCCCCGTAGAGGGACGGGCCCAACTAAACGTTAGAGGGTGCCGTGCCCACGGTTGGCCAGTGCACTCTGGCCCCCGCGGTGGGCGCATGGATGTAGGGGCCCCGTCGTCGGGCCTGCCCGGCGCGCGTGCCAGGGGGGGGGAGAGGGGGAGGGGGGAGAACCCAAGGGAACTCTACTCGTCTTGACCTCCAGGATGAAGTCGGGCGTGCCCCGCTACAGACGGATTTTGGGCGACAAATGATAAATACCCCAAACATACCCAACAAATATTCAAACATTATTTTTTTATCGTCCCCAGGCTATTTTTTTTACTATTTTGGAATATTCCCCCTGTAGAGGGACAGCCACGACTGAAATCGAGGAGTTTTCGCCTGCCCCTCCTCCCGCACTTCTCCTCGCCATCTCCCTCCTTCGCACGTATCCAGAGCAGAGGCGACATAGAGAGAGCTCTCTCGGGTCGGACGAAAAAAGGGGGGGATGGCGAAATGGGGGGCTATAGCGCATCTGCCCGCGCAGCTGGCCTTCTTCCGCGCGCCAGAGGCGCCAAAGGTGCATCGAGGAGGGCGCCCGGCGGCGGACCGGCGGTGACGTGATGCACCCCTCCCGTCCCAGGACCCCTCGAGCCAGCGAGGAGGCGCCCGCAGTCACGCCCGCAGGGGTCCCAACGGGCCTTCCCGCCCACAGCTGGCGGCGGAGTCCCTCCCCGAGAGACGGCCGCCCCCCTGTGGGCATTGCCCGGGCCCGGGCGGAGGAGCGGCGGGACAAGCGTGAGGCGCAGGACAGGACAAGGAGAAGACACGCTTGCGGCGACCCTGGCCGGGGCTACCTGCACACCTACCTCTGCAAAAAGAGGCATGGCCTTAAGTCGGGCGTGTCCCCCTACAGGCGGATTTTTGAGAAAAAATCAAAACTACTTTAAACCAAAAAAAAACCCAAATAATCCAATAATAATCAACAGATCGTCCCCAGATTATTTTTCAAATATTTTCGAACACTGCTCCTGTAGAGGGACAGGCCCGACTTAAGCGTGGCCTGCTGGCAGCTGGAATGGATCTGTGTCCGCGCTGAATGGCGAGAGCACCGTCCATCGATCGCCCCGCAGAGGGGGACGAGATGGTGGACGAGGACCCCGTGGCGAGGGCGGCACGGCCTGGACGAGGCGAGGGCGAGGAGGACGAGCAGCACGACCCGCCGAAACACAAATGATGGAGGGGGGGAGAAGCGCCTCTTCCCGACTGCACCCCCCCTCTACCTCGGGCACTCAGCCGAGGTGGAGGGGCAGGACAGGTGGCTGCACGTCGACGACGTTCTACTGCCACGAGAGTGAGTGAGTGAGCACGACGCCCCGCTGAGGAGGCGGCCGCAACCCGTCGACCGCGCGCCAGCAGAAACAACTTCCCGACGAGATCCGAAAGCGCCGGGCGAGGGGACATCCCCCATCTTGCTTTGCAGGTGGGAGCAGGGAGGAGGGAGAGGAGGTCCCACAGATGCCGCAAAAGTCAGCATTACAATCATCATCGCCCCCATCGGCGGCATCATCTTCACCATCGTCATAAACCTTCATCACAATCGCCACCAACAATTTTATATACAATTATCGTCATCATCATCACCATCATGTTCGTCATCGTCATCGTCATCGTCGTCGACTTCATCGTCATCGTCATCGTCATCCTCATCCTCAGACTCCTCCTCCTCCTCCTCCTCCTCCTCCTCCTCCTCCTCATCATCATCATCATCATCATCATCATCATCATCATCATCATCATCATCATCATCATCATTGTCGTCATCGTCATCGTCATGATTATCATCATCATCAACATCATCATCATCAGCAGCATCATCATCCTCATTATCAGCCTCATCCGCATCATCCTCCTCATCATCATGATCATCCACAACCCTCAAGGAGGAATGAGGAACAGGAGGGAGGAGGGGGGGGAGAAGGAGGAGCAGGAAGATGGAGGTTCCGCTCCTGGGGGTAAGACGCTGGGGTGAAGGGTGAGACGTTTCAGGCGGACTGCGGAGGGGTCTGGAGGAATGGGGGAATCCCAAAGCATTGGGAGGAACGCGGAGGGTTGAGGGGGAATGGGACGGTTGCGGAAGGTTCAGGAAGAGTGCGGAGGGGTCTGGAGGAATAGGAGAATTACGGAGGATTGGGAGGAGTGCGGAGGCTTGTGGGGCAATGGAACGCTTGCGGGAGGTTTGGAAGGCGTGCGGAGGCGTGGGTAGGACTGGGAGGGTTGCGGAGGTTTCGGGGGGAGTGTGGATGGGTGGGGAGGAATGGGAGGGTTGCGGAAATCTCTTTCGGGAGGGGTGCGGAAATGGTGGGGAGGAATGGGACGGTTGCGCAAGGTTTGGGAGGAGTGCGGGGGAATGTGGAGGCATGGGGGGCTTGCGAAGGTTTCGGGATGAGTGCGGGGGGATGTGGAGGAATGTGCGGGTTGCAAAGGTTTCGGGAGGAGTGGGGAGAGCAGGGGAGAAAGCGAACGGCTCCGGAGGTTCCGGGGGAGCGCGAAGGAGTGTGGAGGACCAGGACGGTTGCGGAGGTTTCGGGAGGAGTGCGGAGGGGTCTGGAAGAATGGGACGGTGGCGGATGTTCGGGAGGGGCGCGGCGGGGTGGGGAGAAATCGAAGGGCTCGAAAAGTTTCGGGAGGAGTGCGTTGGGATGTGGAGGACTGGGACGGTCGCGGAGCTTTCGGGAGGAGTGCGGAGGGGCGGGGAGGAATGGGGGAGTTGCGGATGTTTGTGAACCGTGTGGAAGGGTGCAACGAATGGCGGAATTGCGGAGGTTCCGGGAAGAGTCTGGAAGGGTGCGGACGACTGCGACGCTTGCGGGGGGGTTCGGGAAGAGCGCGGGGGGCGGGTGGGAATGGGACGGTTGCGGAGGTGTCGGGGGGAATGCGGAGGGTGTGGGCGAGTTGGAAGGTTCTGGAGCTTTGGGGGAGAATGCCGCGCGGCGTGAAGGAATAGGAGGGTTTCGGAGCTTGCGCGGACGACTGCGGGGGAGTGGCGAGGAATGGGAAGGATTGGGGAGTCGCGTGGAGTTGGGACGGAATTGCACATAACGGAATGGAGCGGAAGTCATCTGGCGTAAACCTCGCCCGAGAAGGCATCCAGGTAGGCCTCAAGAAGATCCACGGGGCCCCAGAACGACCCCAAAGAGGCATCGCGCGGACCAACGGACGGAGCCGGAGGCGACAGCGCTGGCAACGGCGACGATGACGGTCGCAGCCGCGACGAACCAGAAGCACGACGTGCCCGTGGCGGCCACGCAACGCTTGAGGGGTCTGCCGAAAATTTCGGGGCGCGGTATGCAGACCCAGCTGGCGGGGCCTTCCATAGAGTTCCCTATGGGACCGCGAAGCGTGGCAACGATGATAACGACGACGGTGATGATGGCGACGATGGTGATGATGTCTGCGCGCAACGACCCCAATCGCACGCGGCAGGATTACTTAGGCTTTAACTTAAAGGCCTCGCTTGTGCCAGGGGGGCGAGAAACAGCGTGGGCACGGCGCTAGCTTCGGGGCCGGCGGCTTCGGAATCGGCGCAGTGAGTGCGCGGGCCCCAAGTACACCTTGCGCCCGACGTGCTGGTGCATATTGATGGGCATTGGCTTGCTCTCCAGCCACAGGAAGTGGATGGACAAGGGGAGGTCCTCATCGATGAACATCCACTCGCCCAGCACCGCGGCCTTGGCCTTGTCCAAGCCGTGGAAGCAAAACTCCCCCCCTCCCGGTCGCTCCTGCACATGCTCGCCGCCGAACAGCGGCCGCGCCGACGAGGAGAGAAGGGGCCTTCCACCTCCGCCGAAGCGCCCGGCCATGGTGACCACAGGGCCCGCCTCGGACCGACCGTGTTTCAGGGACATCAAGATGCTGTTGCACAGGTCGGCGACGTCAATACGATTCATAGACAGGCCCTCGCGGACGCGGTGCAACCATCGGCCGCCGTGAACACGAGGCGTCCGCAGGGCCTCCTTGAACTGTTGCAAGACGGGTTTCGGCGCGTCTTCGAGGAGGATGCCCGCGTTCTCTCACGCCCAAGCCTTGCCGATGATCTTCTCCAGCACGCGCCCGTCCTTGAACATCCAGCCGACCACCTTGCGCGAGCAGGACGTCTTAGCGCGCGCCATCAACTTGCGCACCGCGCGGGGCTCGTCCGGGGAATTCTGGATCCCCGACCTGACCGCCATCGGCCGCAGGTCCACCGCCTCGAAGCAAGGCTCTGGCTTCCCCCTCTCGCCCTCGACCTGCTCCCGCGCGACCCTGCGCTTCTCCCAATCGCAGGCGGTCGTCGGTTTCTTCTTCGACGCCGTCAGCGGCGGGTGCTCCGCGGGCCAAACCATGTAGTCAACGTCCAGGGCGCTCCGCGGCTTCTTGGGCGTCGCCTTCGTGCAGTGCCCGACGGCCGACCAGCGCCCGTCGCGCCTGCAGGACCAGCGAGAAACGATTTGGTACCTGTTGAGCAACGCCCGCTTCACGGTCAGAAACTTGGTTTTCTTGCCCAAGTGCAAGGCCACGAGTGCGCCCGCCGGGCGCCTGCCACTGGCGCGCGGTATTCCTTGAATACCGCCAGCTTCTTGACCCCGACGGGCGCGGCCCCTGCCCGCGGCGGCTAGCGAGCCGCGCGGGGTCGGCGTCCGGAGCGCCGCAGCAGTCCAGAAAAGCGTCGCGCACCTCCTCCCGCGAGGAAGCCGCGGGCGGTTTGAGGCTCTCCTTGTCCGTGTGCGGCAGGGTCGCCAAGTAGACCTCCCGCGAGGCGTTCCTGTTCTCCTCGCCGACGACCTGCTCGAGGAGCGCCGTCTGCTGGCTCTGCTCCCCCACGAGCCCGCGGCGCTTTTCTGGCCAGTCCACCGTGAGCGCCACCCCCGAGCCCGACCCAGCCAGGGCCAGCCCCCGGCCCGCTGAGCCGACAGGCTAGAGAAGGATGAAAGGCGGAACGCGGGGTGAAGATGTCGGAATGCCCGGGGGCGCCCTGGGGGAACCCTTGGCAGCCTGAGCACTCCAGGGCGCCGTCGGGGTCTTCGGGGGGCATAGTAAGCCGCCGCCTGGCCGCTCAATTGGAGATCTGCGCGCCTGTCGCAGTTGGGCGGGGGAGCGGATTAAATGCTTCGGGCGGGCCTGGGACTTCTTGGTCATGTTCTTTGAGAACAAGTGCTACGAGACGGTGTCCGTGGAGCAGTTTAAGACTGCGGCGATCCTCTTGGCGCCCGTGCCGCCGTCATGCAAACGGCGCATTGCGACGTGCCCGGCTGTGGAAACAAGGACGGGCGAAACGCGCTCGATCCAGAACGCATTGCGGGCATCCTACCAACGGGGCATCCGGAAAACGGATGCCCTGCAATCCACTGAGGGCGGGCACCCTGTATCTCGGATGCCCTGTTCTGTCCGGAGCGCCAGGCGTCCGACTGGCGTCTATCCGTGAGAATGGCCAAGATCTTCGCGACATGCGCGCGCAGGTGCCTAAGGGGGACCCATTGTGGGATCCCCCCTCGCTGCTGCTTCGTCGGCTGCCCCCTGGCAATATCCTTGGCTGCCTGGTTCCTGGTGGCCTGCCTGCTCGGCTGCCTGTTGGCTGCCTTGCTGGCTGCCTCGATGGCTGCCTCGTTGGCTGCCATGTTGGCTGTCTCAATGGCTGCCTCGTCGGTTGTCTCGTCGGCTGGCTCGTTGCTTGCCTTGCCGGGTGCTGTGTCGGTGGCCTCAGTGGTTGCCTTGCTGGCTGCCCTGTCGGCCGCCTCGCTGCATGGCAAGCTGCCTCGTGGGCTACCTGGTTGGTTGCCTCGTGGGCTACCTCGTTGGCCGCCTCGCTGGCCGCCTCGTTAGTTGCCTCGACGGCTGTTGTTTTGGCTGCCCCGCGGGCTGCCTCGTCGGAGGCCTCGTTGGCCGCCTCGCCTGGTGCCTCGTAGCCTGCCTCGTTGGCTGCTTTGTTGACTGCCTCGCCAGCTGCTTTCCTGAAAGCCTACCAGGCAACGCCCCCATCAATATCACGAGCTAGCGCCTATCCATCTGCAATGGCGACGATGAAAAAAGTGCGGTAACCAGCACCAAGGGATGGCGAGAAATCACAATCATGTGTACGCGCTGACGATATCACCCCGGGCAGGAGTAAATCGACCTGCTCGCAACTCTGGGGAACCATGGGGCCTCCGAGGCCTCAGGATGGCTCAAAGCAGCCATCCACAGGACCGTCTCCAGCTTTCGATCATGCACCCACTGTTTGTTGTGGACGGTAGGACGAGGGCAACATGTAACAATGGGCGGGCAGAGTCGACCTGCTCGCAGCTCCAGGTATCCATGGGGCCTCCGAAGCCTCAGGACGAGCCAACGCAGCCCTCCACAGGACCGTTTCCTTCCATGCTTTTTTCCGGCCCCCTCCGATCCCCTCCCCCCTCCCCTCCCCGTTCCTCCTGTCCCTTCCGCTCCCTTCCCCTCCTCCCCATGCCCTCCCTTCCGTTCCCATCGCCTCCTCTTCCTCGCCTCCTCTGACTCGACTCATTCCTCCCGCGCCTGCTTCGGAATTCTCCACGCTCCACAGTTTGATCCTCCTCCCCTCCACCTCCCATCCTCATCCTTCTCAATCCTCCTGTCTCTCCCTACTGTTCCTACTCTTCCGCATCCCCATCCTCACCCTCATCCTCATCTTGATCATCATTATGATCCTTATCCTCCTCATACTTCGCCTCTTCCTCCACCTCCTCCCCCAAGTCATGGGATCTTGGATCCGTGAGGGGTCGCTTTGAGCAAATTGCAAAAACTACAGAAAACCTTGCCATGGACAGTACATGGTCATTGGTTTCGAACCCTGTGGCCCAAGATGCCCCTCAGACCCCCAAAAATTGATATTCATGGCGTGACGACGAGGGGGGCGTTAGTGGACATAGATATTCGAACCCCCAAGGCACAGCCGTCACTGAGATCAGCATTGATGTCGGGGGCGTGGGGGTCATTTAGAATACCCCTCGAATGTGTAAGGGTTCGAATAGGTTTTCCATGTACGAGAGGGCGAAAACGATGAGAGGACGAAGAAACGACGAGGAACGACGATGAGACGAGAGTAGGAATGGAGGAGCGAATAGGAGGAAAAGGGGGAGGAGGAGGAGGAGGAAAAGGAGGAGGAAGAGGAAAAGGAGGAGGAGAGGGAGAGGGAAAGGGAGATGAAGAAGAACGCGCGGGCACGCTCGCATGCGTGTGCCTCCGTTGCGCGTTTGCGTGTGGCCCGCGTCGAATCGTGGTGCGCGTGCTTGCGCAGCGCATGTGCCGTCGGCCGCGGCGGCCGCCGCGGGCGCGCTGGTGGGTTTCAGCGGACCGACCTGCGTCCACCACCAGTGAGCGAGGAGGAGCAGGAGGAGGAGGAGGAGGAGGAGGAGGAGGAGGAGAAAAAAGGAGGATTACAGTACAAACCCAAGGCACAACAACGACGCTTCGTAAATGCCTCTCTAAGGGGGAATTGTTTCAATTGCGGGACGTGGCCAGTAAGAGACAATCGTCTGAGCTTCCGAGTGCGCTGAAACACCACTCCCGTGACCCGACCCCAACGCAGCGGATCAACGCGACCGCTGCGCCCTGCCAGCCGTGAGCCACGCCAGAAGGCCATCCCGGCTAATCGGAGTGAGTGTTGCGTCCTGGCAATCGTAAAGCGCGTCAGACCACTATTCTTGGTACTTCAACCATACGAATACTGAAATGTGTCGTCAACTTTCAGAACACATTTGCGCGACGCTGGGGCGACAGCACCATTTTGAGAAAAGGGACCGCCCTCCATCCTTGAACATTTTTGTTTTGCAAACGTTTGGGGCGAATGTGCACGACGTTAGGTCGAGAACCACACGTTGAAAACGGTTCGCCCTCCATTCGTGAAGCTGCTGCAAAATTTGAAGACGAATGTGCGCGGCGCTGTGGCGAGACCCACAATTTGAAGACGGTCCGCCCTCCATCAGTGACATGTTACACATGCTTATAACGAACGTGAGCGGCGCTCAAGCGAGAACTACATTTCGAAAACGACTCGCCCTCCATGCTCGAAGCGGAAGCAAACTCTTCAAACCAACGCGCGCGGCACTAAAGCGATAACCGCACATAAAAAAACGCCCGACCTTAATCCGTGAAGCTGTTGCGAATCTCAAGCGTCAGGATCACACGTGTTGGGGGCAAGTCTCAAGCCGCAGCCCGCCCTACCGGCGCGTCCGGGAATGCGACAGGGAGGAGTTATCGAAAAAGGAATTACGCAACCGAGGGCCCCCCCGCACTTCTGATATATCTGGCGCGGTGGTAGCTGACGTGAAAATTGCGAGAATGATGCTGGTGGCCGTTGCTTCGCCGATACCGCTGGCGGCGCTGGTCCAACCGTCCCCGCCAGCTCAGGGGGCAGCTGAATGCGAGGGGCGCCTGTGGAACGAACAGGGGAAACGAGCAGAACAGCGGGGGGCCGTTGATGGTGAAGGCCTGCGTGGGCGCGGACTTCACGGCCGTGGCCTGCGCGGGCGTGGCCACGCCCGCGTCGCCGACATCGCCGACTCGCCGGACTTCTCCAATGGCGAGCCATTGTCCTTTTCCGACTCCCACGGCTGATCAGCGGGGAACCCGCCAGATGAAGGGTTCAGCAGGTGCCTCACCAAGCACTGCCTCCTAGTATCGCCGCCCCCTCCTTGATGTAGCAGCTCATCGTACCTGTTGGAAAGCGTATCAGGCCACGATTTCTTCAGCTGTCGGCGGTAAGAGCTAAATGCGTAGTTCACCAACGCTGCCTCGCAACTGCGCAAATTAACACTGCTAGCCTCGACACCTGCGTCAGTCATGGACTTTCGCGACTTCAAACACGGCGGCGGCAGTGCGTCGATGCCACATTTCGGCAGCATGGGCAGCGCCGGGGGCAAGGCAGCGCCTGCAAGATTCGAGCCGGCTCGGGCCAGGGTGTCTACAATTGTGGCTGCCATGCACGCCGCGCTTTCCCGCCCTGGCACTCATATGGGGCCGCGATGAACGACCACCCCCTGCGCACCCACTGCGGTGACCCTGCCACGCATCGGGGACCGCCCTGTGCGCCCCCCCCCTGGTGTCGAAAAAAGGCCATGCCTGCCACGCTCCCCGACCCTGGCACGCATAGGGACCGCGCTGAGAGACCCCCCCCTGCGTACCTCACTCACGTGTCGAGAAAGTGCCACGCCTGCCACGTTCTCCGGCCCTGGCACGCATAGGGGCCGCGGTGAGAGACCCCTCCCTGCGCACCCACTCTGGCTTCGAGAAAGTGCCGCGCCTGCCGCGCTCTCCGACCCTGGCATAGAGGCCGCGGTGACAGACCACCCCCTGCGCACCCCCACTGGTGTCGAGAAAGTGCCACGCCTGCTAGGCCCTGCGACATTGGCGCGTATAGAGACACCTCCTGCGCAACCCCTCTGGCGTCGAGAAACTGCCACGCCTGCTAGGCCCTGCGACATTGGCGCGTATAGAGACGGCGGTGGGAGACCACCCCCTGCGCCCCCCTCCGGCTTCGAGAAAGTGCCACGCCTGCTAGGCTTTGCGGCATTTGCGCGTATAGAGACCGCGTTGACAGACCACCCCCTGCGCACCCACTCTGACGTCGAGAAAGTGCCACGCCTGCTAGGCCCTGTGACATTGGCGCGTATAGAGACCGCGGTGAAAGACCACCCCCTGCGCCCCCCTCCAGCTTCGAGAAAGTGCCACGCCTGCTAGGCCCTGCGACATTGGCGCGTATAGAGACGGCGGTGTGAGACCACCCCCTGCGCCCCCCTCCGGCTTCGAGAAAGTGCCACGCCTGCTAGGCTTTGCGGCATTTGCGCGAATAGAGACCGCGTTGACAGACCGCCCCCTGCGCCCCCCCTTCTGACGTCGAGAAAGTGCCACGACTGCTGGGCCCTGCGACACTGGCGCGTATAGAGACCGCGGTGAGCGACCACCCCCTGCGCACCCACTCTGACGTCGAGAAAGTGCCACGCCTGCTAGGCCCTGCGACATTGGCGCGTATAGAGACACCCCCTGCGCACCCCCTCTGGCGTCGAGAAGGTGCCACGCCTGCTAGGCCCTGCGACATTGGCGCGTATAGAGACCGCGGTGAAAGACCACCCCCTGCGCACCTGGGAGTGCGACAGGGAGGAGCTTTCGAAAAAGGAAAAGGGTTGGAGGAGGAGGAGGAGGAGGAGGAGGAGGAGGAGGAGGAGGAGGCGAGGGCACGCTGCAATTTTCACAGAGTGGCCCCCCAGAGGTCTGGACCCCTTCCCTGAGACCAGCTTGTCATCCTGACCAGTGTTTGTTGATGGTCGCGGGGCTCAGCGAGGGCCGAAAGCGGAGAAAAATACGCGAATTTTGTTTTACGTCACGACGCGAAGGGAATTGGGCTCTCGGGCCTTGGCTCGGCTCTCCGGTGGCCCTTCGGGACAGTCCGTTCACCCCCAGAAGGCCCTATAGGCCCTTGACGAGGCGCGTGTCTGATGGACACCACCCCCGGACTCGAAACCTTCCGAAACCCCAAAAATATGTGCGCCACATCTCGAATTCTTAAGACTCCGACAGGCCTTCGAGAGGCCTTCGAGACGGGCGAGGGCGAGGCCGAGCAAGAGCGCCTCCTGCCCCCCCGGACGTCCGATGCCTCGATTTTTTCGAGGCACGGGACCCCGACCTCCCGGCCACTTCCCCGGGACCGGCTTTTCCGGCTATACGCAAGAGTGACCCTGGGTAAGAGTGACCTTTGGTGCGCGGCTTTGGGGGGGCCGCGGGCAGGTCAAATCCAGGCGCGCTAGCCGCTGCTACTGTTTCGCGCTCCGCCATCTGGGGGCCCATCTGTGCCCGCACCAAAGGTCACTCCGGCGAAAGGTCACTCTTACGCCTGGTCGACTTTTCGTCCCGAGCCGTTGCTTGACGCTCCCGAGGCCCGGCGAGGGCCCCGAGAGGCCGACGACGACGAAAGACCTCCGCCCCGACGTTGTTGAGGCGCCCGATGCCTGGGCCTGCACCGCCGGGCCCGCCCGGCCGCGGCGGCCGCGGCGGCGCCTCTCCGACCCCAGCGCCCGCCGGCGTTGCGGCCAGCGCAGGCGCGGCGCGGCCGCCGACGGGCGCCAGGTCGTGGCGGACCACCTCGCCCGGGCCGTCGCCGGCGGTGCCGCCGCGGCCGGGCCAGGGTGCACCAAACGGCACGAGCGAACCCAGACATCGGGCATCTCGAAGAAACCGAGACGGAGGCTTTTCGTCGTTGTCGGCCTCTCGGGGCCCTCGCCGGGCCTCGGGAGCGTCAAAAAACGACTCGGGATGAAAAACCGGTCCCGGGGAAGTGGCAGGGAGGTCGGGGTCCCGTGTCTCGAAAAAATCGAGACATCGGATGTCTGGGAACGAAGGATCTGCCGACCCCTCTCCCAGGCTTTGCAGGGCTTTCGAGTGCACCTCCCCTTCGGGGCCCAACCTTCGGAGATGCGAGGGGGGGCGTCCATCCCCGAGAAGGGGTGCGTCCGAACATAGCCCCCCTTGGAGTGGATCCCAAGGCCCCCCCCCCCCCTCTTCTGAACGGCCAAACATCTCGGGCGGAACTCGGGGATCGGGGGCGAAAGATCCCTTGCGACAAAAGGCACGAACGAACGAACAGCTCAAACTTTTTGGCGGGCGCGGCCTCGCGCGCAGCTGCCGAGGCGGAGAAAGGTCGGATCCGGGGCGCGCGCGCGCGCAGCAGGGCCCTCTTGAAACTCTCTGCGGATTACGTGTGCGCCATCAGCGGCAAACCGTCCGGGCGTGGATCGCGGGGGGAGGACGCGCTCGCGAACAGCGCACCCCCACACCCACGAGGGGGTCGGGGATCTTCTCACCCGGGTCAATCCAGACCCGGGTGAGCAAGATAAAAAACTTCAATGCAGGAAAAAAACTGCAGCGCAGGGCTTCGCAAACCCGGGTCAGCCAATATGCGCGGAGCCGCCCTCGTCGGCCCCCGGAGCCGTCACAAAACGGCTCTGGATGGAAAAACGGCCCTAGGGAAATGGGTCGAGACTTCCAGGGGCCCAGCATTGAAACAAAAACCATACGTCGAATCTCTGTGTTCTTGGCTTTTCTGGGTGTCGTCGTTGTCGCCGTCGATGTCGTCGTCGATATCAACGACGTCGTCAGGTCAGAGCTTCGCAGACACCTGCAGGCGTAGCCCGAACTTTTTCTCGAGTACTCGTCGATCGGAAGAAGTGGGTAGACACATGGAGTAGGAAGGCGGTGAACGAAGACTGGGTTTCCGCCCGCCCTCTGAAGAGGATGGAAGAGGGGAAACCGTTCGATTCTTGAAATAGGAAGGCGCCTAAAGCAGACTGGGATCTGGGAATTCAGAACGACCTACTTTCAACGCTGGAATGTAAATGGATTGCTGACCGCCCGACTGACTGCAGGCAGACTCACGACAGGCTGTCTGGCTCACTGACTGACTCACTGGTCGCGCCTGTCTGCCAGCTGGCCATTCAATCTCTGGCCGCCGAGCGCGCAACCCGCGGCGCAATCAGCAGCAGCCAGTTTCACATTTGGACGCCAACTGCGCAACCCATGGCGCACCCACGGGCGGCAGAACCCCTGGCGTGACCTGCGACGCAACCCAGGCGTGGCGCCACCCTTGGCGCATCGCGCCGCCCATGGCGCAACCAGTGCAGCGACCCACGGTTGGCGCAATCTGAACCCAGACTCAGGTTTCGCACTTCAGGGCGCACACCATGGGTTGCGCATCCCCTGGCAATTGCTACGGGGGTGCGCCCGGTTCATGCTCGCCGTTTGGGCTTGCGGTGGGGCCCAAGCGGCGAGCTGTCTTGTGATTTCGCAGGTTCTCGTCGCAACGGCTGCAAGCAATACCAGAAACTGGCCTGGCATGGACTCCTGTGAGGGGTCTAAGGGCCGATCTTGAGCGGATCTCATGCCAAACACGTTCAAACCGGTCCCCGGCCAACGACGGCGGCGGGGGCGGAGGCGATGACGGCGGCGGAGCCGACGGCGGCGACGTCGACGGCGGCGGCGGCTGCCTCGCAGGCGCGCAGCTGCTCGACGAGCAGTGCTTTGGTCCGCGCCGGCAGCTGCCAGAGGCCCTTGTCGCCGCGCTGGCGCAGGGGCCGCCGCAGGCGGACGGCGTGCGACACGACGTGGCAGACTCCCGACCTCGGCCTTCCGCAGCGCGGGCCCTCGAGCCTCGAGGCTCGGAGCCCTTGGCCGTCCCGACACGCAGCCCGCAGCACGCAGCGTGTTGGCACGGAGCCCGACACGCCGCCTGCAGACGTGGGCCTGGCGCGATGCGTTCGCCGAGACGTGGGCGAACCCGTGCCGAGCCGACACGCAGCGCGTGCGCACGGACGCTCGAGGCACGGTGCGCGCTGCGTCTCTCAGAGCGGGCGCACCAGGGCAGCTACTCAAGCACGGGGCTTCTGGGCCCAGATCGCCGACGCCGACGGCACGATTCCTCCCGCTCCTCTTCCTCCTCTTCCTCCTCCTCCTCCTCCTCCTCCTCCTCCTCCTCCTGCTCCTCCTCTTCTTCGTTCCTCCACTCTTACGCTCGTCTCATCCTCGTTCCTCCTCGTTCCTCGTCCTCTCATCGTTCTCGTCCTCCTCCTCCCTCCTCCTCCCCCTCCTCCTCCTCCTCCCTGGCTTCCAGCCTCTGGGGCCCGTGATCGGGCCCCAGGGCCCTCAAACAGGGGTCCGGGGAAAAGAGCTGCCCCCCCCCGGGGGAGGCGTCGGGACCTCTGGGGCCGCGGGCTCCAGGAAACGCACGCCGTCGGATGCCCGGGGGAGTCGGGGGTTCGGACGTCGAGGATCGAGACCGATTCGAGGGGCGCCTTCGAGGTTCAAACTTCGAGGTAGATTCGGGGCACGACCTTTTGTAGTTTTTCGCGCGCGCGCTCTCTCTCTCTCTCTCTCTTGGCCTTTTTGGCGGCTCCGCGTCTCCACGGCTTGATTCCCCTCCGATTCGTGGCCGGAGCGCGCCCGAAGACAGGTCCCGGGGTCAATCTCTGGCCGCCGAAGCAGCTTCCGCACCAAAGGATCGCATGTGCATTTGTTTTGGTTTGTGTGTGTGAGTGTTTCCGTCTGTCTGCATGCCTGTCTGTCTGTCTGTCTGTCTGTGCATGTGTGTTCAACGCTCCTCCTAGACTGACTCCTTCGCGTTGCTGTGCGCGTGATATATAGATATATATATATATATATATGTATGTGTGTGTGTGTGTGCGAGTGCGAGTGCGTGTGCGTGTGTGCGTGTTATATGTTGTTGTTGCGTGTGCGTGTTTCTTGCTCGACTCGGTTTGTGGATCTGCCGCGCAGCCTCACAAGAGAGCCAATTCGGCTTGCTCGTGTCCCGCCTTGCACTCTGGCCCTGCTGTCATGCTCGCGTCCGCCAGCGCTGCCAACAGAAAGTCCCGCCTTAGTGTGCTCACCGCCGACTGGAGTCAACGGCACGTCAGAATAACAAGTGTGCTTATGTATTTGGCGCAGTGTGTCGGCGACAGGTGCCGAAGGTGGAGGTCGGCGGGGGCAGGGCTTGGGAGGGCGCACAGACAGCCCCCGCAGGCGGTATCGCTCCTGGCACGGCCGACGGGTAAAGGAGTACAGTGAGGGCACTCGATGAGGAACTGTTGGATAGGGAATCCTGGAGCTGGAAGCTGGTGGAGCACCAAGTGAGGCTTGGCCATGCCTCTGACCGCCGCCCTTATCAGATAAGGAATCCCTCATCCCCCAGGGTCTGAGGCATTCTGGGCACATTCCTTACCCAACGCCCTCCACCGTAGTTTCCGGAGGACGAATTCTGTCCAATACCGACAGCAGCCGCTGTTGGGCATGCGATGGGTTGGCTCCGGTGGACACCGTTCTCGACTACACCGACAGCGAGTCCTGCTCAAATTATGAAGGAAATGCTATCAATGTTCGCTCACATGCTTTTGTGTCCAATTAGATCGGACGTGCTGAGCCTCAGCATGTCCACATAACGCAGCCCGGAACAGTCTCAACATCCCAGCCACAGGTCTCTTACGAGGGGCAGCGATATGGCGAAACGGGCTGAAGGGGGAACATCAAGCTTAGATCGGTGACACATCGCCTACACATCGGCGACAGGCCTCCGATAGCGAAACCGCACATTTCTGGGCGGGGTGGGCCATCCGTCCCCAATAAGCGACATATGGGCGATTGGTGGTCGATGCTTCCCCCCCTAGGCCTATTAACCCCGTCGTTTGTTTTCGGGTCATGACTGAGCTCCCCGGCGGCCGTTCGGGACGATCCTGGCAAACCTGGAACGCCCTCGGAGAGACGCAGCCGCTGAAGGTACCCCTAGGCTGGCAAACCGATGAGAAACTGTGAAGAAGCTGGGGAAATCTTCGAATCTCGATTCCGAAGAGGGTGGAGGAGGCCGCGGAGGGCAGCCGGGGCTGAATATCCCATGGGGGGCTGCCCGCGTGCACCCGCAAGCCTCCCCAGATGGGGCCCAGAGCCCACTGGTGGCCGTTGCACTGCTCCCTGGTGCGCTGCTCTGCCAGGTGGAGCAGGCCCACCACCGACCCGAAGAGGTCCCCCAGCTCTTCCTCTGGAGGGGCGCCAACCATGCGCCTGCACCGATACTGGCCAAGCCCATCCTGGACCCAGACTCGGTGCATACGTCCTCCTGGCTGGGCCGGAAATCGGCAAACAAGAAAACTGCACCTACCGAAAATATGTTCATGCAACGCGTTCTCTCGTGAAGGAGAGATGTGGCGGGAAAACCCTGGGTCTACTTACCCTGGCGAAGGACCCAGCCACACTAACGCAGTTGTAAGCATCGTCCTCGGTGGAGCTCCTTATGGGGCCGCGACGCGTGTGCTGCCACTGGGGACTTCGGTGCTCCTTCTGGGGCCAGGACGTGTGTGAGGGGTGCGCCGAAATCAAGGGTCGCGGGTAAGCTGGAGCCTTCGGTGGAGCTCCCTAGGGGGGCCACGACACGTGTGTGATTGTGTGGTGCGCCGGCATGGGGAGGGGAACGGCATGCGGGCCCTGACACTAGGGCCACGGAAAGTTTGACATGGTGGGCTGGGGGCACGGGACCCCCCCGCATTGGCATCGAATCCACCATTGTTCCGGGGTCCCGCTGCCCAACGGAAAATCAATCAGCACATCTTGCGCAGTCTGTGCGGTCTACGCTTTTTAATCAAGGAGGTTATGTAATGCCAAGGAACGTGTGAGGGGGGCGCCGAAATGACGGGGGAAACCGCATGGGTAGAGATCCCTGTGGGGCCACGAAACGTGAGAGTGGCGCACCGAAGTGAGAGTGGAACCGCATGCGGGCGCTGCCACTGGGACCTTCGGTGATGCTCTCTATGGAGCCACGAAAAATGTCAAGTGGTACGCAGGCAGGCGGGCGGAACCGCATGAGGGCGCTGCCACTGGGGCCTTCGGTGGAGCCCCCGATGGGGCAACGAAGCGTGCGTCTGAGGGGTGCGCCAGAATGTGAAGATTGAACCGAATGCGGGCGCTGCCACTGGGGCCGTCGGTGGATCTCCATATGGTGCCATGAGACGTGTGAGGGGTACGCCGAAATTTGAAGGACGGAGCCGCATGCGGGCTCAGCCACTTGGGCCTTCGGTGGAACTCCCTATGGGGCCACGGACCGTGAGGCATGTCCTGAGATGGACATGCGGAGGGCCGAGGCACGGGTGGGAGAAGGGAGGGGGGGAGAAGGAGCGAGGTGAGACGCAGGAGCTGACTCACACAAACGAAGGCCCAACAACACAGAATGGTCGGGAAACATTTGCATGGGGATCGCAACTCTTACTTCCGCCGCCTTTTGCGGGCCTCCCGCTGGCGCAGCCGCCCTTTTACTTCTGCCGCCTTCCGCGGGCCTCCTGCCAGCTTTCGCTGAGGAAAAAAGAAACAAATCGCCATCGGGCTGGTCCAAGACAGTTACGGTGCCCCGCACGGTGCCCGAAGTGTGCCCCACACGGTGCCCCAAAATCGTTCGTTTTCGTTTGCACGCGGTGCGCTTCGCGATTGTATTCCAGATTTTCCGCGATCCCCTCGTGGCCCTATTTCTTGTTTGCCCGATGCCCTCCTGGCCCCCTATACTGCTATTTGCCTACCTGCGGTCGTCGAAGATCCTCGAAGACACGGCCCACATGAACCGATCCCCCGCCAGAGTGGGCCTGGCTAAGGTCGGCCGGGGCTCGATCTAAACAGTGTTTTGTATTTTCGTTTTGTTTTCGTTTTCTTGAACTATGTCTTCGTTCTGCCCTTGCTGCGAAACAGAAATCGAAACGAAAACGTCAACGAAATCGCCAAAACACCGTTTAGCTCGAACTCTGGGATCGGCTACAATTAATTTGCGACTCCCGAACCTCTGGAGGCAGCTCTGGGTGCCAGGCACCGGCCTTGCGGCCCCAATCGCTCCCTCGCTGCACGCCCACGTGCAGCGCGTACCAGCCGGGAGGGATGCGCCACGCGCGGTTCTCCTGGGAAGAGAAAACACGGCATGAGCAGATCATCTTTCGGAGGTCCGCGCTTAGTTCTTGGATCAGCGCTGAGTCTCCTCTTTGGCACGCGGAGCGCACCAGGGGCGGCGACGGAGGCGCCGCCAGGGTTAGGAGGCATTAGTCTGAATCAAGCCGGACAACATCGGGATTAAGTGAAATCAGATGGGATTGCGCCAGATTGACAAGGCTTTGGACCACGGATGTACGTACCACCGCCGATACCGAATCTAACCCCCACGGATTTGCATTCTACAGCAAGTGGCCCAGCGCCTATCCAAGAAATCCGCGCAGAGCTTCGACCGTGCATGCCTATGCATTGTTTTTGTTCTCCGGTCTCCACCAGCTTGAGCCCCATCATCATGGCCAGCGCCTGGAACCCGTTCTTGGCTGTTCGCGATAACCGCCGTGAGCAGATTCGGTCCCCCCTCCCGTCACCCACCTTCGTGGTCACGTCACGATTCGCGCCGGCCCCGCCTGAGAATGAACCACTCTTCCACGCAGTACCCGACGGAGCCAGGGCGAACCGTGACGTGACCAGCCTTCTCCCACTGGACTCTCCTCCCCACCAGGTCACGCCCATCAATCTCAATAGGTCTTTTAATCCCCTCCTCCAGTGACTGGCATATGAAAACTCTTTCGGGAGCTTATTGTAGGCTGCCGACGCCCACCAATAACCGGCGACAAATTATTCCGCCGCCGCCGCCGTCGCCGTCGTCGAGGAAGAGGAGGACAAGTGCAAACCCAAGACTGATCAACGATGTTGGAATGAACCTTCCCTCCACGCTCCCTCTTCATAGGCCCTTTGCAAGGATTGATTTCCATTGCAGGAAGTGAGCCGTTGGGAGACAACCGTTTGAAGAACCTGAAGATTACCAAAACACAATTCGAGAGAATTCAACGCAACGACTCTAACTATCAGTTGCGTCTTCACGATCCTGAATCGCGCTAGAACACCACTCCTGGGACTTCAACACCGCGACTCAACGTAACTGTTGCGCCGTGACAGTCCTGAATCGCTCCAAAGCATCATTTCTTGAAAATTAGCCACAAGAATCAGTGAAACTCTAGCATCTGTTGAAAACGAGAGCAACAGTTTGAAAAGGAGCCGTCCTCAATCCGTGAACCTCCTGCAATTTCTTAACACAACTGCGCGCGGCGCTAAGGCCAAAACCACATTTTGAAAACGGCCTACCCTCACTCCGTGAAGCTCTTGCAAGTTTCTAAACGGATCGGGCGCGGACGCGAGAACCACATCTCAAAGACCACCCGCCCCAAATCTGCGAACATCTTGCAAATTATCAAAACGAGTACGCGCGGCGCGAATGCGAGAACTCCATTTTGAAAACGACCCGCCTCAATCCGTCAAAGGTGCGCGGCGCTAAGGCGTTAAACGTGCGCGTGCGCGGCCCTCCCTGATGTTTTTTTCGTAATGAAACAACTCACGTGCGCGGCGCTAAGGCGAGAACCGCATGTTAAAAACTTCCCGCCTTCCATCTGCGAAGCTGTTGCCAGCTCTTGAGATGAAGGATTATCCTCAACCGAAGTGCCAAGCCAGCCCTTTCGACCGGCCTCGGGGTGCGACATGGAATAATGATCTATGAGGAACAGGAATGGAGGAGGAGGAGGAGGAGGAGGAGGAGGAGGAGGAGAGGAGGAGGAGGAGGAGGAGGAGGAGGAGGAGGAGGAGGAGAGGAGGAGGAGGAGGAGGAGGTAGAGGAGGAGGAGGAAGGGGAGGAGAAGGAGGACAAGTACAAGGATCAAAGACCTCCTGAGGTTATCGCCAAGACAGAAAAAGGATGTCTCCTGCTGCGGCCCCTGCACTGTGACCGCCCGCTGCACGGCGGAGGGGTCGCCGACGGCGCCCGCGGGGCACCCGGCCGTGCCGGCGGGGCCGCAGTCTGCGACGGCCGCACCGCCGACGAGCGCGCCAGCACCCCAGACATGCGACATTCCTTTTTACCCCGCCCTCCTCCTCCTCCTCCTCCTCCCCCTCCCCCTCCTCCTCCTCCTCCTCCTCCTCCTCCTCCTCCTCCTCCTCCTCCTCCTCCTCCTCCTCCTCCTCCTCCTGCTCCTCCTCTGATTGGCATACTCCGTAGGCATGGGCTCTGTGGGGTGCAAGGAGGTGGCGCCTTCCTGCCACTTCCCTGCGGCATCTCGGAGGGCTGTGCGCTGCAATCTTTTCACACCGGGCGCGTTCGCCTGGTGCTGGGCCCTGGGACCAGCAGACACCAATGTGGCACGAAAAAGCTGCAGAAAGATAGATAGGGTCCAGGGCTCCAGTTGTGCTTTGCCGCGATGTTGCACTGTTTTCGTGACGTCGGATCTCAAGCTTGATCCCGCACGAATTGCGCTTTCCTGCCTCGTGGGCGGAAAGCATATCCGTATCCGCGGCCTCGCGGACTGGCCTCTGAGCCGCGACCCCGCGGATGTGGGGCGTTTTCTCGCGCATGCCTCGCGCGGAACGCATCCGTGCGACCGTGTCTCTGCGGGATCGCGCCCCGGAAGCCAGACCGCGAGGGCGCGGATACGAAACATTGTCGCCGCTCGTGACCGCCGTTCTCCCACCGCCCCCCCCCCCTCCCGCTTCGCGCTGCCGGCGTTCCCCCGGGCGGGTCATGCCCATCCAAGTGGCGCTGGAGATTGCTTCGCAACTTGGACCCCCAGACCTCTCGACCGCTTCCCTGGGGCAGGCCTTTCGCCCCAGGTCGCTGCCTGGCGGCAGGGCCCGAAGCCGGCCCTCCCGAAAGCCCGGAAGCAGCGAAAGTGGGCTGGCCGCCCCAATGCGATGTCTGGGGCGATGGGCGCCGCACTCGCCGGTGCCGCGCGGGGAGGATCGCCGACTTCGCCGGCAGGGTCACCTCACGGGCGACGGGCAAATCCACTCGGGGACGTACTGACCCGGATCAATACAGACCCGGCTCAGTCAGGCGTTGCAGGATCCTGCAAGATCCTGCACCCAAGCTCGGGTCAGTGCGCCCCTGGCTCTGCAGGATCCTGCCAGATCCGGCGCTCTGGCTGACCCCCGTTTGCATTGACCCCCGTATCAGGGCTCCCGATCCATACCCAGGCCCCCCGCGCCCGGCCTGGACAACAAGAGTGCGCGACCCCATGGAGAAGTACGCTCCGCGCTGGGCATCCGCGCGGGGCCGCCCCCCTCTTCCCACGGGGCTGAGAGTCCGAGGAGTCCCGACCGCGAGGCCGTGGACAGTCATGCGCATGGGGAAACAGAGAGCACCATAAACGCAAATGTTGGGAAGCACGCGGAGATATCCCAGAATCGGCGCTGGGCCCTCTTCCCTCGGCAGGGGCGGCACCGCGACGGGTAGATTGCGGCCCGGCAGACACGCCCGCCCCCGAAACGACAGACGACAACAAAACAAAGATGCCGCAGAGCTCGTGGAGCTTCGGGGGCAGATGCGCCAAAGCAAAAAACGATGGCCCAGGAAGACGTTCTGGACTTCTGGGGCCAACGCCGACCCAAGACTTCCGGACGGACGTCCAGCGCGCCTCGAGCTTTGTCGAGGCGAGGGCCCTGGGATCCCTCAAATGCCCCAAGAGTTGGCGGCGCGCACAGGAGGGTAGGGGGAAGGGGTGAGGCTTCTTAGAAGGAGGCTGCTTCTGAAAGGCGCCGGCTTTGAATTTACAGATGCGGCCCACGGCTTCTAAGAGTCAGGGGTGTTCCTGAGAAGCTCTCCCCCTCCCTCCTACACCCCTCTGCGCGTGGCCGATTTGTTCTAGGCGCGGGCCCCGGGATCCCTCGACGCCCCCAGGACAGCTCGACGGTCTCGATGCCCGAGACAAGCCTGAAGTTGTGCCTGTCCTCCTACAGGGGGATTTTGGACGATTTTGTTCTTGAGTAACTAACAAGTGTCCGAAAATGAACAACAAATACTAAAACATCGTACCTAGACTATTGTTGACTATTGCTGAATATTCCTCATCTAGAGGGACGCGCCCGACTTAAGGATAACTCCACGGTCTCGATGCAAGAGACAAGCCTCCACGGGCCACAAGAGCGACGACCGCCCGGCAGGCCCCGCGGGCGCCTCATCGAAGCGCGAAGGACGACTGCGGCGCCCGCGGGGGCCCCGCAGGGGCAGGGCCCGCACGTGGCCGCAGACGGAGACATCCGACGGAGATGTTTCCAATCCGCGCCCCGTATAGTCTCGACCTCTTCCTCGGGGTGCAGTCTTTCTAAGAGGCCTCCTGGATGGGGTCCGAGTAGATGGGGTCGGAGGACCACGCCGCATCGCCGATGCATCGGCGATGCATCGGCGATGCACAGGCGATGCATCGCCGACGTCGGCGACGCATCGGCGACGTCGGCGTGAAGCAAATCGGGCTCCACATCGAGCCGCATCGGCGATGCATCGGCGATGCGGCGCGGTCCTCCGACTCTATCTACTCCGACCTCATCTAGGAGGCCTAGACTTTCTCCCCGGATCTGTTCCCGATGGCCCCCAAACTCTCCAGGACGCTCCTCCTCGGGAAGCAGACATGGAGGAACCACGCCAGGGCTGACAGAGCACCAGGAGACTGACACGGACGTCAATCCTTCGGGTATCTGTGGGCCCAGGCCCTCGACGTCTTGGTTTTGTGCGCAATGTGCCTTCCCCACCGGTCTGGACCCCTTCCCGTGGAGCGGTTTCTTTCCCTGAGACTCTCCCTCACTGCCCTGGACCGGAGTGTTCCAAAGGGGGTTTTGGGGGAGGGGGTTTTCCAGGAGGGGTCCCCCAGGGGCTTCGCACCCCCTGTTTTGACGAGGTTGCGAGGCCCCTGGGGGACCCCTCCTGGAAAACCCCCTACCCAAAGATCCCCTTCGGAACCCTCCGGCTGGAGCCCAACAAAGGCCCCCACATGTGACTGGGCACGGCGCAAAACTTTCCGTCGTGATTCTCTCACGGCGCGAGGGAGCTCGGGCTCGGGGGTCAAGCCAGGAATCCCCAGACCTCTCCCCGGGTGCGCTCGAGGCAAAGTTCTGGGGTGGCGACGAGGAGCCTCCCAGAGACCCATCAAATTTTGAAAGAACGAGAAGGAAAACCTCAAACCACGAGAATGTCAGGAAGTGTCTGGTGACCACGATCACTGTCGACCCTTCCCCCAGAGCCAGCTTGTCGTCACGGGCCCTTTCCTGGAGGTCCCCCAGGCCGAGAAAACCAGAAAGCCTCCGTCCTGATTCTTTCCATGCACCTTGTGTTGCATCCTCGGGGGGCCTGGTCTGTCGCCTCGCGGCGCGATCCACGTCGAATCCGTGTCGAATCCGTGTCGAGCGAATCGAATCCGTGTCGAATCCGTGTCGAATCCGCGTCACATCCACGCCGAATCCACGTCGTCCCCACGTCGGAATGCAAGAAAAGACATGCGATTGTTTCGCCAGCTTCTGCCAGTCAGAGATCGGTGCCAGAGTCAATTGGATGACTACTGCTGCAAGTTCTGATTCTTGGCCCCATCTGGAGGCGCACTTCACGAAGTTTCACCGACAAACCTTGAATCACGTTTTCCTGCTCCCCTGAGTGGGGCAACCTGCTCTACGGGGGCGTGCCGCTCTCCCCGTTCCCAGGGACAGATCTGGCTGCTGAGAGCGATGCTCGTATGCTCGTGTGTACAGGACAAGGAAGGCCTCCCGAAGATGCAAAACGGGATGTCCGGAGGAGGAGGAGGAGGAGGAGGAGGAGGAGGAGAGGAGGAGGAGGAGGAGGAGGAGGGAGGAGGAGGAGGAGGGGGGAGGAGGAGGGGGAGGAGGAGGGGGGAGGAGGAGCAGGAGGAGGAGGAGGAGGAGGAGGAGGAGGAGGAGGAGGAGGAGGAGCCCCGTCGGGGCTCCGGTGAACCAGAACACCAGCGCAGCACCATGCGGCCGTGGGGGCCGACACGGCCTCCACATTGCTTGCTCGCTTCTTCTCTCTCTGCGCAGCGCCCTGGCTTTGCGCGGCGTCTCCCTGGCTCCTGGGGCGCTGGAGACGGACCCCCAGCGCCGGGATGTATTCCGCAGCGTGGCCCCCCCAGAGGTCTGTGCCTCTGCCCCGGGGCCGGCGTCTGCTCCCGAGCCACGCTCTGCCACAGCCCCGGGAGGGCCCGGCGAGGGCCCCCCAAAGGCGGAGAGCATCCCGTCACCTCCCGGTCTTTTGTTGCCACGGTGTGCGGGGGGCAGCGATAGGGGGGGGATAGGCATAGGGGGGGATGCATCGACCTGGAATCGGCGATACATCGCCGGCAGATCGGCGATAGGCCCCCGAAAGTGAATCCGCACCTGCCTGGGCGGGTTGGGGCTATCGGGCCCCTCTCGGCGATCAATGGACGATTGGGGGTCGATGCGTCCCACCCTATGCCTATCCCCCCCTATCGTTGCCCCTGAGCTGTGAGGGGGGCGCGGCTACTTACCTAAGGGTCGCTTTGCGTCCCGGAGCCATGCCTCAGTCCGGGGATCCGATCTGACAGGCCCCGGCGGCCGAGGCGAAGAAAGCCGCCCGGAGGGACAACAAAAACGTCAGACCCGGAACGCGCTCGACGAGGCGCAGCCGATGGACTCCCCCACGTATACTCGGAAGCATCCGACAGCATCTGGAACCTCCCGAGAATGTTCGAAGGCTCCCGCAAACCATGGTCACAAAACGGGCTCCAGGTGGCCGAAATCGAAGAACAACGCCCTCCTGGATGGAACACATCGTGGGAAGACGAGAGGGGGAGGAGGCTGTCGAGAGGGAGAGGAGGACGACGAGAGAACGAGGAGGAGCACCGCGAGCCAGGTGCCCTGGCAGAGAACAAAAAAAGGCATCGCCAGGGGGGGATCCGGGATCCAGCGCCGCTCAGAGAAATCCGCGTAGAGCGTCGAAAGTGTATGTTTATTAGAAGGCAAAAATCCACCCCCACAATAACCACCCCGCAAGCGAGGCCGTCTACTAAAAGCCCCCACTCAAGGAATCGAACAGGGCAGGGCTGTGTAGTAAACGCCCAAGGCCGTTTAGTAAACGCCAATTGTCTGGTCCGGGTGGTTTTTCCTGCCTTGATTTATGGCATCCGTGCTTCCTCGACCTGAGTGACGGTCGAGGGCAGGTCGGCACGCACGGGGAAGTCCACGGTCGAAGCGCAACTCGTCAGACCCACCGCCGACTTGGATCATTGGTGGTGGGGGGCATTGACGGATGAATGAGGCATGAGGCATGAGGCATTGAGGCACGAGTGTTCGCCAATTCCTTCCGAGGCCTGGACTTGGCGTACCATGTGGGACCTGTTTTAGAACAGGCGCACACTGCAGACGGGTACGCCTTTTCTCCGACCTCCTGTGGCGCCGAACGCAACGGCAGCGCTGTCTATAGACGCATCCGCCCAGAAAGTGTCTGCACGCGCAACGGCACCCAACGTGTCTAAGTAAGTATAGACGCTCGTAGCGAGAAAGTGAAAATGGTTTATCTTGATATTCGTCTTCTAAAAGCAGGTCGACTTTGCCCTCCCAAGACATCCACCGATATGATTTGTTCAACCTGCGGCCCCAGATGTCCTAACCCCTTCCCTGTGGGTGGCTCTCCGTCCCAGACCCATTCCTGATGCCCCCCCCCCCCCCGAGCCCGATGTGACGGGCCCTATAGGGGCCCGACCCGAAGCAAGGCGCCAGGATGGCATGGCAGAGCCATCTCCGCGGAGCTCTGGGACCTCACTCCTGTAGCAGGGGAAGCCCAAAGCTCCGACGTCGTGATTTTATACGCGGTCCCCGGAAGCCTCGACCCCTTCCCCAGGACCGGTTTTTCAACCTGAGCCGTTTTTTGACGGTCCTGGGGCCCGAGGAGGGCCCCTTTAGGCCGAAAATTATGAAAAACCTGCGTCTTGATTTGTTTCAATACGTTGGATCTCTGGGAGCGTCGCCTGCGACTTCCGAGGCCTGCCCACGACCGCCGTCGAGCCAGCCGGGGGGCGCCGCCCCCCGCGCCTGCCGCGGGCGCCCCGCGGGCGCGGCGGCCGCGGCGGGATCGCCGCGCCTCGCCGCGCGGCCGCCCGTCTCGCCTCCCGCGGCAGGCGCCAACCGCGGCGCCGGCGGCGGCCGCGGGTCGGCGAGGCCGTTGCCTGCCGGGGGGGGGGGGGGCAGCGATCTTTGAGCAGGGACCGACCGTTCCGGCATTCTTATAGGCCTACCACGACATGTGGTTAAAACCCTACGAAGGTACAATAACAAAAACGATGTTCTTAGAACATAGACCCGATGTGTTAAAACAAGATAGTCCCAGCCAAACATGTTTTAATAACATTTCGTGGAAACCATCGGGGCCGTCAAGGAGCGGTTCAGGATGAGGAGCCGGCCCCAAGAGATGGGTCGAGACCCCTGGGGGTCGACGTCATGAAACAAACAATGACGTCAGGGTTCTGGATGTGACGCACGAGGATATACTATACAGCCCTCGCCAAATCAACCTCGCACATGTCTTACGTTGCTGACTTGAGTACGTGGCGATATCTGCTTGAGTAGCGATGGGTGCGAGGTACTGGTATGCTAGGCCCCTCCAGTGTCGGTCAGCGCGATGATGGCCGTCCCGACGCGGCCACGGTTGCCAGAAACAGAATAAAAATGCGCCCAAGGTCAACGCCGCGACGATGGACGACGACGACAAAAAAAGGGTTCCGCGGCCAAGGCGTTGTGGAAACTCCTTGGGGTAAGCGAGGGGTGGAAAGACGAAGAGGAGGAGAGGGAGAAACAATGAGAGGGAGGAGGAGGAGGAGGAGGAGGAGGAGGAGGAGGAGGAGGAGGAGGAGGCGGAGGCGGAGGCGGAGGAGGAGGAGGGGGTTGCCCTGGAGAGCCCAGGAAGGAGGCGCACCGAGGCCATGCGGAAGGGGGGACAGGAACCCTTCCCTAGACTCAGCGCAAAGCCATGCGTCAAGCTTGATCTGTCGAGCGAGTTTGCCCATGGGTGCCCGACCTGGCCTATCATGTAAACCAGCGGCCCTGAAACATTGAGCAACGCACTGCCAAACTGCCTCTACTGTCCTATTCCGTACCCCGAACAAAAAACTCAAGTCGCGAGCGGAACACGCGCGCGGCGGCCATGTGTTTTCCTCCTGCTCGGCCGTCGCGTCGGCCAGGATGGCCCGCATTGCCCCTTGCTCCGCGACCTGGGTCTGGGGGGCGCGCGGTCGCCCAGCGCGACGAAGCCCAGCACAGTGGCTGTAACACTGGAACTACTCAAACCCTGGGTGTTGGACGTCGCGCGTTCCATGGTTTATGCGCTGGCCGCTGGCACGTCGTTCGGCTTCATCGCAAGCAGCAGCCTGTTGGGCGCATCCTCGAAGTGTTTCGCCGAGTCCTGAGCCGCAACCTGCTTGCCGAGCCAAGCGCTGAAAGCGCCCAGAAGTAGGGCATTGCTCGGTAACTCGGGGGGTGCCGATCAGCGCGCGTTCGCCTTGCCCTCCACCTCATTCTGGTACTCGGCGCAGGTCGCCTTGAGAACCGCTACCTGTTCCGCGTCGTTTTTGCCCGCGCCCTCTGCACGCTTGCCCCGCCATTCCTGGGATGATGATGCCCCCGCCTGCGCTGGGCCCCGCTTGGGGGCGCTCGGCACCAGCCAATCCGCCAAGTCGTCGATGGCCTCCTAGACGCCAGGACACTCAAACTCCAAGAAGCGCTCGCGTTGAAGCGGCTGTAGACGCTCGACCCAAATGTGCCAGCGGAGGCCGTCGCTGTCGGTAGCGCGATACTCGCAAACAGAGGCTCACTCGCCTTGGGCTGAATGGTCGCACCATCTGCGCGCCTCTGGTCCAGGTGACAAACGAATCGACGTAAACTTTAAACTATGGTGCGCGTGCCGCTCGGCGCATTCGATTGGCGATGAATTCGAACAACTGGTTACGCGGCGTCGGAAGACACAGCGCGCTCGCCCCATGAATTGCTTGCCGTGCGTTCCGCGCTTAGTCTCGAGGTAGCGCGCTGCCGTTCCTGCCCTCGAACCTCTCATTGCGCGCCTCCCCGTCATTATGCAGCGCGGTGCATTTGAATGGCCCTCCTTCGTTCTAGCTCCTCTTGCTCTCGGCCGTGCACTCTCTAGAACTGGTGCCTCCCGGTGCCTCCCGCGCCCGGCGGAGTGGCCCCCCTCGAACAATGCGCCCTGCGCCCCGTAAATTATGGCCCGCCTGGCCCCGCCATCAAGAAGCGCGATCGCTAGACAAACGCTGTGAAACTCTTGACGCCGCGGTCTCGCCCCCCAGATCGTCGATCATATAGCGCCGCGTTTTCCGCCTGGTCCACGTCGCGGGGGCGCCCGAACACCGCCGCCAAAATCTGAGTGAACAGTCGCGGGCGCCCGCGACATTGCCGTGGCCAGCGCGGCCTGCAAACAAGCATCTCCATGCGAGGGGCTGCCGGGCGAACCTTCGCGAGGGCCGGGGGGTCGGAGAGGCCGCGGATGGCTTCATCTTCCCGTCGCGGACAAGACCTCGCATGGGAATCAGCGCGCTTGGCGCGAGGAAACTGAATGCAGGTTGCCTGCCCCGGGCGTTCATTGGGCCCGACTTCGCGCAGAGCACCTCCGCTCCGCTGCAGCAGGCATCCGCCGCGTAACCCCCCCGGCAAGGTGACCTCCCAGCTGAACGGAACAGCGCTGCCCCAGGAGCGGTGGAGGTTGCGCCGGGCCGCCCGCACAGCTGCCAGTCGGTGCTCGATCTCGCTGAGAGCAGACTCGGAGGTATTCCCGGCCACGCATGCCTTGCTGATGCGGTCGTTTCTCCATCCAAACACAGTTGCCTCGATAACGTTGGTTCGAGGCTGGATGTAGGCTGGTTTCTGGCCACGTAGATAAAATGCACATGCCTTCTAACCAACTTCCCCCATCCGATCCTGACAGGATTGATTCCAAAGTTTACCGTTGGGACCCATTGCCTCGATCGCCCTGCCCACGTCAAGTTGCCCGCTGCATCGCCCGCGCAACGTGCGCAGGCTGCCTGCGCCCACTCGCTGGTCCACGGGCACGCAAATAATCCCAGCTTGTAAACGCCGATGCCGACTAGGACCAGCCCCATTTGCCTCGCGCGTGCCCCCGCGAACAGCCGCGCCATAGCAGCACCTGGACAACGTCCTTGTTCCGCCGGCAAGGAAGAAACATACTGGCGCAACTTTGAACTTCATGTTGTCTGAATCCTCCTCTTTGAAAGTATATCCGATCTCCGCGCGCAAGAAGTCGCGGTCTAAGACGTAGTGGGCGATGGTCGCGTCGCGGGGTCGCTCGACGTGAGTCTGGCCCTCGCTGCGCCACGTCCAAGAATGCGCCGATTGCGCGGCCGCGGCGGCCCCCCGGCGTCGCCCGCGCAGACAACCGCGCGCGCCGGACTCCAACCCAGAAGCCGAGGCGCGAGGCAACAAACTGCTGTAGCACGCCGCCACAAAGCGTGCAAAAGATGATTCTGAGCCGTTCGTCGCCGCTGGCCCTTCATCGAGCAGGACAGCGCGGACTTGACGGGTCGCGCCGATAGCTTCTCCTGCCCCCTCGCAAGGCCCACGCAACGACGCGGTTTCGGCTTCCTTGCGCCCGCCCAATTCGAAAACATGGCCGCCCCGAGCAATGCCGCGCTGACGCTGGCAGGGGGCGCCGCTCTCCGCGCCCGCCGCCTCCAACCCGCGCTCTTCGAAGAGTCGGCGCCTCGTTCGGACAGCGCGTGCGCCATCTGGGCCATCTCGTCGCAGTTGATGATTCGCAATCGCCGTGAACACTCTCCAACTGCGCGCGTTCCGCCCACTCCGCTGCCGCGCCGCCGATCGTGAACTCTCGCCAACTTCTCGCGCGGGGCCCGCGCCCTCGCGCGCTATCGGTCTCTCATATCTACGTTCTGCGTGATGAAAGTCATGCGGTGTATGATTTGCGCCCCGGCCCCCATCGGAAGCTGCCGCTCTGCCTTCCTTTGCCCGCCCCCCAGTAGAATGCGGTGCTGCCGCGGCCACGCGCGGGCAATGCTGATGAGCCCCGCGATCTGGAGCTGCGCGCTGACGTCGCCGCCCAGTAAGCCCAGCGCACAGATGATCGATGCGCCTCATTTTTCCTTCTTGAACCCATTCGCGTAACCCGCGCGACTCTCCGCGTAGCCCCCCCCCCTCCGCGCGAGTCGCCGCGGCGCCCGCGCGATGAGCGCCCGGGAGAAGCTCGTTCGCCTCCGCGGCCACGGCGCGCCCCAAGCGGCTGTTCAGCTACGCTGCCCTGCGAGGGATCGCGTCCGCAACGCCGTCGATTAACTCGAAACTATAGCGTCCGCCATGTAGCAGTGCACCAGCCGCTGACGGTTCAGAATGCTCCATCCCGGGCGCCTGCGAGCAGGGGGTTCGACGGTTGGCCCACGCGAAACAAGCTCCAATGGGAGCTTGCTTCGCGCCCCCGCACCCATCTGCGCGGCTGTGACCTCCCCGTGCTTCCCCGAACGTCGCGTGCCACGTCGTGGCTGGGAGCAGCGCCGAAGGAGCCCCGGGCCACCCAGCGCGCGTGTCGCGCCTGTCGAAGCCGCGCAGATGTTGCCCGCGTCCCTTGTAGTGTTGACAGGGCCGATATCACTCGCAGTAAACACTGGCAGCATCTGCGCGGCCTGCCTTCGCCGCCCGCCACCGCCGCCCAGGGCCGAGAGGCCCGGTGACCCCCTCCACCTCCGAAGTGACAATGACGGTCCACGGCAACGATTGGCGCCCCGCGCCCAGCAATGAAATCCAGAGTTCCAGACCGCCGCGTCGTCATATTACCGCGGCAACTCGTGCAATTGAGCTGCTCCGCCGCGTCTCGTGCTGGGCGGCGCATGACACGGCGCGAAAGCAACTCGCGCTGCCACGCCCCCCAGCTCGCAGCGCATCCCCCGTCCATTTCGCCCCCGAGAAACAGAAGCGAACCTGCGAGCGTGCGAAAGGCGAAAGGATTGAAGAAACAGACGCTGACCCCGCAAGGCACGTCTGCGAGTGCACGCGACTTCCGCCCCTCGGTGGGTCTCCACAAAGAAAGAAAGCACAGTGGCGGATCACCCTCCGGCGCGCCACCTTCTCCTGGGCGCCGAGTGCCTTCGCGACCGCGGTATGATGCAGTTCCATCAGAATGCCGCGCGCGCAGCAGCGTGTGGCGATGTTGGGGCTGTAAGCGACGACGCTCGCGCGCCCCTGCAGCGTCGCTGAATGCGCGGACGTGGGGGGGAGACATAGCATGCCCCCCTCTCTCCAAATCCGGACGCGGCGCGGGCCCTCTCGGGACCTCAGATTGCCACTTGGAGGAGGAGGGGGGCGAGGAGGCGGAGGGGCCGGAGGGGAAAGATGATGATGGCAGTTGACACATCACGGCGCAGACGGCCAGGACACGAAAGAGGGGGGAACTGCCGGGGCGCCTGCGCCGCGCGACGCAGGGTCAGGCGATCCAGCGGCTAAGCCCCTGCACCCGCCGTCGAAGCCTGGGGTAAACAGTCTTCCAATGCACGCGTGGACTCAGCGCCCCCTGCAAGAGGAGAGAGCAGCGAGCTGCTTCTCGAGACGCGCCCGCAGGCGCCTCGATATCAACGCGCGCCGCGCTCGCCCGCGGCCCTCGCGCGGCCCGCCCGGCGCGGCAAATGAGAGCGGGGGCCCACCCTGCCGCCTTGGCTCGCCCGACAAGCGGCGGCGGCGCATCGACGTGCCCGAGGGCGACGCTGCCGGCGCCGAGGAGGGGGAGGACGCGGGTCGTTCGCCCGTCGCGGCCTCCTCTCAGCCACGGCGCGCTTCTGGGCGCTCATCCGAGCGCGGAGTCCTGCAGGGCTTCGGACGCCATCTGGCCGCGCCTTTTGGTAAACACATCTAGCCTGACAGGAGTTCAACAGTAGACTTCGCGATGAGCCCGTCGAGATATTGGAGCTGCTCGTCGGCCACCTCCAAGCTTTCTTCCACTCTGGCCTGCACGTTGGTAAACTGATTCGAAGAGATCAGGCAAGACTTCTTCTCTGAATCCAAGTCCAGGCGACTTCAGATCTCCTTCAGCTTCACGTCCATCTTGGAGTCCAACAGGCGCACTGTGTCAGCATCTTGCGCGGCCATGGTGATGATCCCGTTGAAGACCCCCTCATGCGCAGCTTCCTGTTTGACCACTTCGCCAGAGAGATCTCGAATATCAAGCTTGGGAGAATGCTCTACCATTGGCGGGCGATGACCTCGACCGCGCTCTCCTTCGCGGACAGCGTGTCCGCGAAGGTTACAAAGTGCTTGTCAAGATGCTGGATGTCAGCCTGCTGCGGCGGACGCAAAGGCAACGGCCAGTGCGGCCACGCATCCCACGAGGCCAGACCCCAAGGCTGTCCAGCGCTACTGCTCAGCAGCTGGTGTGGGTGGCCCACCTCCGCAGGGTAACCCGCGGATCCGAGGTGCGCTGGGGCGGCTGGTTCAGCTGCGGCGTCGTGACCAACGCCTCGTGGCCGGAAGAACCCAAGTAGCCAATGCTCTTGTTATCGTCCTTCTCGCTGGCACGCCCAACGACTAAACCGTTGGGTGCCTCTGGGGCAGCCTCGACCTCCTTACTGGTCAGAATCGTAGTACAATCACGAGGGGGAAGCTGTCGATCGTCTGCCGCGTGGCCTTCACGGCGTCGTGGCAGGCGTCACTCTTCTTCTCCTGCACCTTGACCTCGGTGATCCCGTCGCTGCTGTCCACCGGCTCCACGGAGTCGTTGGACACATCTACCGTGCAGCGCAGCTCCACAGACTGGACCAGCTCCTCCACCAACGGCGCAGACATGTGACACGAAGTCGTGGGCGATCTCCAGGTTTCAGGTCTTACCATCCCTCTTCTGGGGGAGGCTCTTGAAGTCCACGCACCGGACCGCTTGTGACAAACCCAAGAAGTGATTCGTCGAACGGCAGGTCATCGTTCGCAGGAGGCGAGGAGGAGGACGAGGGGGTGGAGGATGAGGAGGAGAGGAGGAGGAGGAGGAGGAGGAGGAGGAGGAGGAGGAGGAGGAGGAGGAGGCAGGAGGACGAGGAGGAGGAGGAGGAGGAGGAGGAGGAGGGGGGGGAGGAGAGGAAGAGTCGAAAACGAGGAGGAGGAGGAGGGAGAGGAGGAGGAGGAGGAGGGAGGAGCCGCCCGCCGCCACGCAACGACGGCGCCCAGACGCGGCGCCCGCCCTCGCTTGGGGCGGGGCCCTCGCTGGGCGGCCGCGGCCAGGGATCGGCCGGCGCGCCCTGCGGCCCTGCCGCCAGGCCGCTGGCTCCGCCTGCCGAGGGCGGCGCCCAGGACCTCTGCTGGGACGGGGGCTCCCATCTCCTCCTCCTTCTCCTCCTCCTCCATTTCTGCGTTGCGCAAACGCTGGTTTGCTTGAGCCGCTCCTCCTCCTCTTCCTCCTCCTCCTCCTCCTCCTCCTCCTCCTCCTCCTCCTCCTCCTCCTCCTCCTCCTCCTCCTCCTCCTCCTCCTCCTCCTCCTCCTCCCCCCTCATCCTCCTCCTCCTACCTCCTCCTCCTCCTCCTCCTCCTCCTCCTCCTCCTCCTCCTCCTCTCCCTTTCCTCCTTCCCCCATCCAACTGGCATCGTCACTGGTTCCTACTCCTACTCCTAGTCCTACTTCTACTCTTTCTTATTTCCTCCTCCTTCCTCCCTCCTCCTCCCCTCATAATTATTCCTCCTCTCTCTTCTCCTCCTCCCTGTTCCTGCTCCGACTCCTCCCCTCCACCTTCCCCTCCTCCTCCTTGTGCTTCCCCCTTCCTTCCTCCTCCTCCCCGTCTTCCTCCTCCTCCTCCTCCTCCTCCTCCTCCTTCTCCTGGGTGTTCCTCATCTTCCTGGTTCTCCTCCTCCCTCCTCCTCCTCCCTCCACTTCCTCCTCCTCTTCCTCCTCCTCTTTCCTCCTCCACTTCCTCCTCCTCCTCGTCCTCCTCCTTCTCCTCCTCCTCCTCAACTTCCTCCCTCCCAGTTCCTCCTGCTCCTTCTTTCTCTCTTCCTCCCTCGTCCTCATTCTGCCTCCCTCCTCATCCGCATCTTTCCTCGTTCATCCTCATTCCCTCCTCTCTCATCCTCTTCATCCCTCCTCCTTCTTCTTCCTCTTCCTCCCTCCTTTTCCCTCCTCCTCCTCCTCACACTCCGCCTCCTTTTCCTCCTCCTCCTCCTCCCTCCTCCCTCCTCTCCCCTCCTCCCCCCTTCCTCCTTCCCCCTCCTCCTCCCTTCCTCCGCCCTCCGCTTCTTCCTTGTCCTCCAGCTCCAGCTCCAGCTCCAGCTCCAGCTCCTCCTCCATTCCTTTTCTTTACAAGCAACATTTCCCTGTCGCACCCCGAGGCCAGTTTTTAGGGCGGGCCGGGCGTTTCGCTTCAGACTTCCTCACTACTCATGACTCTGAAGCTTTAGAAGTGGCAACTGTTTCACAGATGGAGGGCGGCTGGTTTTCAAAATGTGGCTCTGGCCCCAGCGCCGCGCACATTTGCTTTAAACAGATACCAGGGCTTCACGGATTAAGGGCGGGTCGTGTTCAACATGTGGCTCTCGCCTTAGCGCCGCGCACATTCGTTGAATGGCAAGAAATTCACGGATTGAGAGCGGGTGGTTTTCAAAATGTGGCTCTCGCCTTAGCGCCGCGATCATTTAAACAAGAAAAAACAACGTGCTAAAGCTTCGCGGGTTGAGGGCGGGTTGTTTTCTACATGTGGCTGTCGCCTTAGCGCAGAGCGGGTGGCTTCCAAACTGTAGCTCTCGTCTGAGCGCCGCGCAGATTCATTTCAACAAATGCAAGAGTCTCACGGATTGTAGGCGGTTCCTTTTCAAAATGTGGCTCTCGCCTTAGCGCCGCGAACATGTGTTTTAAACATATGCAAGAGTTTCACGGGTTCCCATGGTCAGCGTGCCAGATTGGTGTTTTGGAAGAATGCAGGATCACGCGGGTATAACAGTTATATTGGTTCGAGGTGTTGAAATCCCCCCAAAGGCGTTCTGGCACGATTCCGGGTCGTCAAGACACAGCAGGTTCATCCGTGGAGTTGGACTACCGAGAACAATTTTTTGGCATGGTTCAGGATCTACAAACGGTTGTCTTCCAACGAGGCAGTTCCTTCAATTGAAATGAACAGCTGTATGGGGCCTATGAAGAGGGAGCTTGGAGGGAGGGTGATTTCCAACATCGTTGGTGACTCTTGGGTTTACACTGGTCCTCCTCCTCCTCCTCCGCCGACTCCTCCTCCTCCCCCCCCCTCCTCTTCTTTCTCCTCCATTCCTCCTCTTCCTCCCTCCTCCTCTGCCTCCCATCCTCCTCCTCTTCCTCCGCCTCCTCCTCCTCCCCTTCAGCCTCCTCCTCCTCGTCTTCCTCCTCCTGCCCCTGCTCCTGTGTTGTCCTTCTCCTCAAGGATAACCTTCCCCTGTCTCACCCCGACGCCAGCCAGAAGGGCGGTCCAGGTGCTCCGCCTGAGACGTCCTCACCGTTTATGGGCCTGGAACGTACAGCTGGCACCAGCTTCGCAAAGGAGGACGGGCCGCTTCCAACATGTTTTAAATGTGCCCCCCTTCATCAGAACCGCGCACACTCGTCGCAAGTGGCTGCAAAAGCATCACGGATTAACGGGGCGGGCCGTTTCATCCGTGTGGCTCTCGCCGCAGCGCCTCGCACGTTCGTTGCGGAAATTTGCAAGAGCTTCACGAATAGAGGGCGGTGTCTTTTCAAACTGTGGCTCTTGCCCTAGCGCCACGCACACTCGTGTTAAACATTCGCAAAGGATTCACGTACTGAGGGCGGCTCCTTCTCAACATGTGACTCTCGCCCTAACGCCGCGCATACTCGGTTCAAACATAGGGTAGAGTTGTTCATTGGTGCTCGTGGCTGACAAACCAGTAGTCGTGCCGTTGAAGTCCTGTGAATGGTGGTTTGGCACGCGTCTGGATTCTCACACGGGTTGCCTCCAAACGGCCCATTTCCCTGTGCAAATGAACCCTTGTAGGGGCCTATGGAGAAGGAGCTTGGAGGGAGGGTGTATTCCAGCATCGTTGATGAGTCTTGGGTTTGCATTGCTCCTACCTCCTCCTCCTCCTCCTCCTCCTGCGGCTTTTCCTCCTCTTCCTCTTCCTCTCCATCCTCCTCCTCCTCCTCCTCCTCCTCCTCCTCCTCCTCCTCCTCCTCCTCCTCCTCCTCCTCCTCCTCCTCCTCCTCTCCTTCACCCCCTCTCTCCTGCTCCTCCTCCCCCTCCTCCTCCTCCTCCTCCTCCTCATCCTCCTCCTCCTCCGCCTCCTTCTCCTCCTCCTGCTTCTCCTCCCCCTTTTGTTTCTATTCCTCCTCTTTCTCTTCCTCCTCCTCCGCCTCCTCCTCCTCCTCGTCCTCCTCCTCCTCCTATCTCTTATCCTTCCTACTCCATCCCCCCGCCAAGGATGGTATAGTGCAGAACCTTTTTTCGCCAAGGAACGCAGAGCTGTAAGACCGGCGGCGGAAGGACAGAAGCGTTTGACGGAAGCTGCTCCAGGACTGCCGATCCAGCGTTCGGTGCAGGAATCTTCGAATACATGCGCGAGTACGGTTTCTCCTGGCATGTTGATTTGGTTTCTCGGTTGGGGTGGGGGTGCTATCGGGCAATGCTGCTGCTGCCGCCGCCGTAGCAGCTCCCCCCCCGACTGCGGCTCCGCCCCAGCTTTCTCCCCTGGGTTCACGTGGCGCCAGCTGGGTATAATGGTGCACACGATGCGCACCAGGCGTGCGCCCCGTCGCTCTTGTTCCCTGCATCCCCCAAACAGATGTTTGCCCCTCCGCCTGCGAGCTCTCTCCATGCCCACCGTTCAGCCCACGGCCCCCTCCCTCTGCTCTCTCGATTAGGGGCCCACGTGACACTGTAATGGTGCGCCAAATGCGCACCACACGTGCGTGGTCCCGAGTCGGCCTCTCCGAGCGCCCCGCAGCCAAGTTCTGAACGTATCTCCGCCCGGGCGCCAGGAGCTATCAATGCAATGTGCATGCAACATCGGGACTGTGCCCGATCCCTCCCCCGCTCGGGTCAACGCGATATGGACCGTCTGAATGTTTGTGCTGTCTCGCTTTCGGGCCGTCAGGGGCTGGCACAAATGCCAGCCCCACGCGCCGTGGGAGGGCAAAGAAATACAGAGGCCCGCTCCGCGGCCCAGGGGAACGCCGCTCCCCAGACATGGGGTGCGGCGCCCCGAGCGTCGCCCCGACGCGCGTCGCAGCGACGCCCGAGACGCCAGGGGCGCGAAGAACCCCCAGGGCGCGGGCGGGTGGGACAAAACGCGTCACGCGGCCACGCATGGGCAGCGTGCGCGCCACAGCCCTCGCGGGGGCCTAAGCCCAGAGAGGCGAACGCACAGCGCGCAAGGCCGCGTGTGCGGACGGGCACCGCGAGGCCGTCCCTACGCCACTCGCACCGCGGTGCGGTGGCAGAGCGCAGCGGGACAGGCCCCCGCCAACTGCGCAGCAATGGCCAACAAGGCCAGCGGCCGCTCCTGGGCGGACCGCGGACAAGAGAAAGCAGGAGCGCAGAGGCGGCAGCCGCACAGGCAGAGCAGCACCAGCATACCTCTCCCACCCACGGCCCCGCACCCCGACCCCCCCCCGCCCCGAGGACGAGGGGGGGGCAGGAGAGCAGGGCAGCCGTGGGAGCGGCATTCGTGCAAGCCCACAAACGCAATGACAGTGCAAGCACTGTCCCTGAGTTCGTGGGCTCATCGCAAATGCCAGCCCCGCGCGCCGTGGGAGGGCAGAGAAATACCGAGGCCTGCTCCGCGGCCCAGGGGAACGCCGCTCCCCA